AGTGTCGAGAAGTACTTAGCTGTGCCAAACTGGTCTATGATTTCCTGAATGAGAGGCAGAGGATAAGCGTCCGCTGTTGTCACTTCGTTCACTTTACGGTAATCTACACAGAACCTGTAACTACCATCAGGTTTGCGTACTAGCACTACTGGGGAAAGCCACGGTGACGTGCTCTCTTCTATAACGCCCTGTCTCATCATCTTTCTACACTCATCTCTAATAAGTTGTTTCGCCTGCTCTGGGAGTCTCCATTGACGTGTTTGGGCCGGAGGATTATCACCTGTTGGAATGGTGTGTTCGACTTGAGGCAGGTAGCCTATTTCCTCATCCTCGGTCGCAAATAACCTAGGAAATTTACGGAGGACTTCCCGTACCTGTTTACGTTCAGCAGGTGACATATGAGTCAAATCTAGAGCAGTTATTAATTTGTCCACCATTTCCTTATCTTGAGGAGATAACGGGGTTTCTTTACCGATCTTACTGTGTGACTCCTCGTCTCTTACGTTCAATGCGCTACATTGCGCTGTTACAGTCGATGTTTGTGTGGTATCTGACTCTATTATTTCTTTTAAATTTACCACAATTCCTTGTGTCAGACTATCGCCTACCCTAAAGCGATAAGGTTTGTGAGAGAGGTTGACCACTGGTATTATCGCACCTTTGTCATGTACAGATACCAGAGTATATGGTATCATCAACTTATCAATTCTGCCAGCTACCTGAAGGGTACTTCCGGGTTGAATGTTTCTTCCTACGGCGACTTTAATAAACTTAAATGACCGTGGTGGACATACTTGTCTGTGTACAGCATGTAGTCTACATGTTTTCTTGTCAGGGTCTTGAAGAGACTTGAACAATTGTTTAGGAAGGTTTACATATTTAGGTGCTCGTTGAATTGAAGCAATTATGGGAGGGTGATCAGTTAACTTTACTGGGAAAGACACAGATCCCAACTGTAGCCTACTGTGTCTTGCTCCCTTCTCCGATGTCAAAGAATATGTAAATCGTTTCAAAAAATCCATGCCTAACAATATATCACCAGGGAATGTTACATTATCCACCACAGTACACTCATGGATACAAGGTTTATCTTTTTCAATGTTAAAAGTTAAAATACATTTTCCCAGAACGTCAAAGTGTTGACCATTGACAGCTGTTAATTGTGCACCCCCTTCCTTAAGGCGCACCTGACTGAAGGTCCTAAATGAGTCCATCTTAATGATGGTTACCTGACTACCAGTGTCCAGGAATGCAGTCAACCTCTTCCCGCACACCCTCACTTCAAAAGTGGGCCGCCCTTCCTCCTTGGGGGCCTTATCTCATAATTCCTCCTTACTATTGGGGCAGTCATCTCGTTTGTGGCCTCGTCCGCCACAACTCCAACACCTGGGGTCATAGGTGTAGTACCAGTGAGGAGGCGGACCTGCTCTATGGTGCCCTCCCCTCTGGTTGCTAGAAGAGTTACCTACACTCTCCTTAACACGATGCGAATTGTTCGTATCTACCGCTTGGACATAAGAGGATTGTCTAGTTTCAGTTGTATCCTTACACTGCCCCTGAATGTTTTGTAAGTCCGTAGCGTACTCTATTAAACTATAGTAATCCATCGTTACACTTGCAGCCGAAACGTGAGCTCCAAGTGTCCCGGGGATTGACATACACAACAGTTGTTTAGCCTTCTGACTAATTCTCAGGTCATCGTATCCTAATTCATGCCTCAAGTCACGCACTCTACGCAATATGCCAGTTCCAAAGTCTTTGAGAGTTTCGTTTGAGCCTCGTTTTAAACTAGCTAAATACCTATTAGCTGTTTCCTCTGTTATTTTCTCTTTATATCGTCTCTTAATTGCTAACACAAACTCTGGCCATGTTTGCAAATATTGAAACTCTTGGTCCTGCATTATTGAACCATTAGGGTCTATACACGCTCCTGCTGCTAAATTAATTTTTACCCAGTCATCCTGGGCAGCTGACAAACATGAACCTACTTGCCCTAGCCAGTCGTCTATTTTCCGGTTACGTTCCACTATATTTGTTGGTAATTCTTTGCAAATTAGTTTGGGTAACACTGGTCTAGGCAATGAGAATGATGACAATGGGGGCTGACGCATACCATGAGACGCAGGGGGCATGGAGTGTAGATGTTGGCAATGGTTAGGGAAGGGTTGGTAATGGGGAGGGAAGGGTTGGTGTAAGGTAGAGTTATAGTGATGGTCAGGTGGGGGGGAGGGTTGGGTGGGGTGGTGGTGTGAGGTAGGGGATTCTAGGGGTTGGTTCTGGGCAAGGCATGAGATGGTAGAAGAGGGTTTGGTCGTCTGACCAAGGTTGGGGTTGCGAGGGGGGAGAGGTGGGGTGGTATTGGTGGGGACAGTCACCTGACCGGACCCTTGGGTGGACCCCTGGGTAGGCGTATGTAAGCGCCCTGCCGTAAGGTTCACATATAGGGGTTCAGAGAGGCGCTTCCTAATTTCTGAGGATGGGTAAGGTGGGAGGGGGGGTGGTTGGGGAGGGGTATGTGGGGAAGGTGCAGGCCGCCGCGCCCCTGGGGTGTTGGGTTGGGAGGTCGGTCTGGGAGGAAGTGGGGGAGGGGTGATGTCATTAGGCTGCAGAGTATCAGGGGTGGACAAAGGACGGCTACCCAGCATGTGACCTGATGTGACCCCATCACCTGCACCTTGTGGATCGTCACCTGACTCTTGAACCGTGCTATCCACTTGGACAGCCTGTCTCGGCTGTATTGCTAGAAGGTTCTGTTGGCTAAGCCCTCCCTGACTCCTTAAAGCCCTATCTGAACTCATGATGCCAATAAACTACGTCTGAACGACTAGTTCACCGGACTAGCGCTGACCCAAAAATGTTGAAAAAAAAAAAAAAAATCTTTGGAACTAACAATGATTCACTGAGAACAAGACAAAAACTCACAACGTCGTTATAACTAGCCCCTTTACTTAACAAGGGTGGTAATTTCAATGTCACTTCTAAAACAAAACAAAAACGTAATTACTTTTCAATCTGCCTGCTCTTATGACAGATAATAATCGATATTACTTTCACCGCGTTGAGACAACTTCTCCTACGCGATACCAATACACAATTTCCCACGCACTATTCATTAACAATAATTCACTGATAGAAACTATTTGTACTTCCTATCGGGAAACTGTAATTACTGCTCGTATGAGCTTAACTAATAGTTACTCTTACTCCTTAAACCTACAGCCACATCACGTGACCCAGAGTGTTTTCCTAGCTTCTTCGCCGGTCAACAACTCAAAACTTTTGCCACTCCTGTGACCAGACTTCAAACGCCAGGCGTCCCTAGACGTGAGTCAACTGACACACTAGTCCACACTAGCATGCTGTACAATACCAGTACACCTCAGATTATCGCGTTCAATTGGAGTAAATCAGTCAATCGCGATAATTTGAACAGAAACACCGCTTAAAACTACTTAATAGCTACACCGAACGGCACAAGACGCGTGAGACTGAACACTGTAAAACAATGTTCACCACCGCTAAGCCACCATTGTAATGACCCTGATTGTAATACCTCGCCTTGTATCTATCTCGACCGCGCACTCCGCTACTACCACTGAGCTAACCGTGCAATCTCCGCTCTTTCTATGGTAATAACAGATGCTATACCGATCATATAAGATGTTAACACTCGGGCCGTCATACGAAGACGTAAACCAGTACACAGAGGAAGGAGAGAGAGAGGAAGAGGGAGGCAGAGCGAGAGGAGAGAGAGAGGAGAGCGAGAACGAGAGCAAGGGAGGGAGAACGAGAGCGAGTGAGGGCGAGGGAGAGTGAGACACTAGTGAGGGAGAGTGAGACAGAAAGATAGAGATAATCGTAGTCACAACCTATCGTATGAGTTACCGAGTGACGCTGCCACCACCCTGAGTTACCGGACAGGGGACCGGAGTGAGAGTCGTAGGTCTTGCAGATGGAGTAACCTACCAGGACAGGTGTAGGGGACAATTGAACGGTACAAGGATCCTGGCCTGACACTCGAATAATCCTGACCACTTGGGAACTATAGTGTACACAAGAATAAGGCGGGACACACCAACACTAATACCTCAACACGGAAGACGAACGGGGGGAGGAGTACTGAATAATTAAGAGCACTAGGTCACTAGGGCAAAGGGGACGGTAGGCCCAATATCACTAAAGCAAGGAACCATTAATACACATTTAATAACACTTAATATCTGACTTTATTTGAAATAATTAAATAAGACACTCCCTAACTATATTCCCTACTAGAGGCCAAGGGTACTGAATGAGGTGCTTTAGTACAAGAGAGCCGTACTTACTCGTATGTTGTTCCACAGTTTCCCTGGAGATGATGTTCTTTCCCAGAGTCCACACACACCTCCCTACTGGGCTGTGCCCACTCAACTGACTCTCCTGATCTACTGCTCCTCAGCTGAACATGAGGGTTTTGCATTTGTTGTTTAGGGGTTAATCCCTGAAGATTACCATGACGGCATCAATTCTGACCTCTTTGTGATTCGATGACCGTTGACCTGACTCTATGGCTAACTTATACAGAGGTGTAACTTTTACATTGTCTGCCGTCGCCTGACTGGCGCCTGTGGGTTGTTCATCCTCCACGTGGCCTGTTCATGCTGTTATGATGTTCATGTACTATGTACTGCTCTCTTGTTACACAAATAAACAAATACAAAAAATTCCATATATTTTGAAGTACTTGGGAAAACTAACCTCATCTTGTTTCTTCATTTCCTTAAGTTCATTGTGCCATTCCACTTTCTTCAAGAAGGTTGTTTTGTCCCGTGTCATTCTCCTTTTTATATCAATATTTTTCCCCCTGTTCATCTTTAGGTCCAGTCAGTAGTAAGGCACTCTGGTGTGTGTTATCAGCTCCAAGAGGTTTCTCTTTTGCTGTTGTGTGTTTTGCACTGTGTGAATACTAATTTGTCCATATGCTAGCGTGTGTTCCTGATATTATGTATCAACATTTACAGATTCCAAAGACAATGTCAACGCTGTGGCAAGGATCATGAAAGAGCCAGTGGTGGTTCTCAATAAGCTCTCCTCGGAGGTAAGTTATTTTTGCACTTGTTCTAAATGAAATAATTTATTTCAGCCACTTTAATTTAATCCTCAAAGAGGTGCAATCATAAAAATCGATATCTTCCCTGTGCTTCAGAATTTTATTTTTTATTTTTATTAAGGAATGATACAGTTGTGTGGAAAAAATACAAATATCTGTAAGAAATACAAAAATACAAATATTCATGTCACGTTGAACCTGACGTATGAATCACAGCCTGGTTGATTACGTATCATTTGGAGGTGTTCATCGAGTTCTCATGAACACCGTGAAAGGTCGGCCAATTATGCCCCTTATGTGTAAAGGAAGTGTGTTGAGTAGTCTTGGGCTCTTGGATGTTGATATAGTTATCAGCATACCTATTGCACCTCTGCTTTTTAATGAGGCAGTCTTGCACCTCCTGCTATGCCTCATGGTATCCACTTCCATGTGCAGATTTGGAACCAGTCCCTCTTAAGATTTTCCAAGATTGTTATGTATCTCTCGCCTCGGGTGGTAATAACGAAAATCAGCAAGTGACGATAACTACACTAGTCTAGGAATCAACATATGACAATGATTCACCTTTTACCCATAAAGTGTGGTTATTGTTATATGTTAATCTCTGGGGTAATGTGGTTATCATCATTCAGTATGTTGATTTTTAGTTACCACCATCCAGTTTTATACAAATGATATAAATGTAGATGTAATGGAGTTTACCTCGATCAGTGACAAAATCTGCTATTGTTTTCAATTGCTTATCATAGATGAGGTTATCTTGTACCACCAGTAAGGCGATTATTATCAAGTCACAGTTTGGTGTTTCATGGTAGTGTTTGAATTTATTTCTGCACAACAATGCAAGACAAGACACTGAAAGAGTGGGCTGCAAGACACTTTCTCTGAGCTGTGCCTAGAAGTAATTTATATGCAATATATTTCTTTATATTGCATTGTAGGCATATACTCGGTACTCACTGTTTTTTGTTAATTATGTGTACGTAAATAGTTATTCCACACAGTGTATAAATTAAAGTAAAAGGGTAAACATGCAAATGCATGTTTACAGGATCATCACAGCTCACTGCTTGACTTAGCTTGTCAGCAAATTTATGTTGTCACCACTCTGACTTGGCAATCTCCTAATGTGCATGAAACCCAAAAGTTTTTTTTCCTTGTTTGCATGCAAATGTGCCATTTTATAATAACAAATTATTTGTATTTCTTTGTATGCAGCCAGAGAGGTGCTTTTGGTCATAGTTACACTAGTACCAAAGTGTAGGGTTAAGGAATAAAGATTTGTTTAATCTTATTTCTCTGTGAATACAAAATTAGGTTTTGAGGTTACCATGTGATAGCTTGAGAATGCTTCATCATTTTGACATAAAACTATAAAATACTATGCAGGACCTTCTCTAGATTTTTTTTTTGAGTTTGGGGAGTAGAAGAACTCCCAGAACCCCATCAAGCAGGTATCTGTCCATCCATCCATCTATAGTCCATCTATCTGTTGGTCTGTCCATATGTCTGTTGGTCATTCCATCTGTTCATTGGTCTGTCCTTCCTACCACCACCACTACAACCATACCACTCCTCCCTCCCTCCCCATCCTCCTGTGGATACCTTTCTTGAGTACCCTCAATCAATTAAGCAATATTAAGTTAACATACTTTTAATTTTTCAGGAGCTTAAATCGATGTCCCGCATCCCCAAGCTTTCTGGAGTTGGAAGTAATGCTAAAACCGACAAACATGCAGATACACCCTCCAAAAACAGGTGAGTTCTAGGTGGGGTTTTGAGTTTTAACCTTACTTTAATGTGTAGGCATACATATATTGTTTAATGCTCCAATATGTGTTTTTATGAAAAACAAAAAGCACAACTGCCCATATGGACACTGCTTTAAAATGGAGGTTCATTCACAGAGAATTAGAAATGGTAAAGGATTAGGTGTTGAGGAAAAAGTTGAGTGAAGAGTTTGTTACAAATACAAACTATTTTACAGGAGGGTTAAAGAGTGAAGGGAAAAGGGATGATAAATTCTGTTGAGCAAAAGATATGGGGAAGGATTGTTTTTATAGGTGTTCATGATGTTAACTGTAGGTGGAGTGAAATTTTCAAGTTTGTTACAGTACTGTACTTTGATATTGTGAAGAAAAGGCAATAAACATTTTTAAAAGAACTGAGATGGATGAAGAGGGAACATAGTTGTAGTTGTATTTGTAGGTATGTTGAGGTGTGGGAGTGAATGGGGTGTTCTTTGTACTTTGTACTGTTCTTTGTAATGTTCTTTGAATTTAGTATTAGCTTCACATGCATGTTTTCCTTCTAGCTTGAGAGGTTTGGTTTTTGTTACACTTAGTGCTACATGCGCTCAGATTTTTTTCCCTGGGTGCCCATTAGTACTATTTGGGAGTCGACCCCTAAGAGGCCAGGTCATTGCGATGGATAGCCTCGCCTTCGGCTATTCATGGGTTTTTGACTCCTCTGTTTAGGGGCTTGGCTGGAAGCATTCTTTTGGTTGTGCTGGGATGTGCTAGGGCTCATGTGCTTGATTATATGATGAACTACTGTCACTTTCATATCCCGGTTGTTTCGGCTACATTTGGTGACTGTTCTTCTGACGAGTGGTCGCAGTGCCTGGGGTTTCTGCTTGGTTAACTACCTTCAAGCCTTGGTAATCCTCGTGCAGGTCTCTTCCCTGTTTCACTGTGGATCGACCCATCGAGTCTGTGCTCAACATGTATAAGATGGAAGAGTGTTCATCACCTTTGGTACCTCATGGTGATCATTCCTTCTGCCTCTACCATGCTGTTTGCTGGGTTGGTGAAGTCTATGACCCAGAGTCCTGGGAAGCTTGTTCGCACTGGGTCTCTGCCCATACTGATTCACCTTCAAATTAGAAAGCTTTTCATGCAACTGAAGCTTTGCAAACTAGATTGACTCAGGTTAGGCATTCGTGGCATGATATGTCTCTGGATGCCCTGAAATTGGCTTCTGTGGTGTTTAGGGACCCAGAAGTGTTGATAACCTTCGCCCATACTAAGTCCTCACCACCTTTTTCTTTTCCTGTGGGTGTTATTTGCCCTGGTTTCGGCTCCGAAGTGGCTGAGAGTTTTGGAGTCTGGTCAAGGTTTAGCTCGGGGTGTAGCTCAGCCATCTCTGGGTGTGATCCTATCCACTTGATATATTAACTTCATTGTTAGAGGCAGTTGAGCCTTCTGGTTCTGCCGGGGTTTTGGGGCAGAACCCAAAACCTTTTCGGAACTTCAACCCCTTCCCTGGCACTGAGCCTTGCCCAGGAGGACCCTTTTTTGTTGGAAGTTTTGGGTGGGACTATGGCTCTGCCTCGGAGCTTTTATGGTAAGCTACCAGGGCCCTCGTAGGACCTCTGATGTGTCTTCAATTCTCCATGGACCTTGGTTTTCTCTGCAAAGCATCTTTGCTTCAGAGGGAGAATTTTTCTTATCCTCTATGTACAAGTATAATGACTTGTCTGGTATCCTCCATATCCCCTCATGTTTGACACTGTATCCTATTTTGTGCCTTTGAATCATATTTATGGAGGTTTCTGTCTTCCCGTGTTGAGCTTTTGGTGGGTTGTGTGGATTTGTTTCAGTACCTCCTACATAACTCGGACATCTTTTATGTAATCAATCGGGGCCTCTTTTCAGTATGGATCTGTCTCAGTTTATTGGATGTGGTGTGAGGTCATGGATATTTCCTGGCTGACTGACAACCCTTTATTTTCCTTGGGGGCTTGGCAGAGGTTCTGTCAGACCCGCATGCTTGATTGGCAAGATGTGGGCTCCGTATTTTGGGTGTTCTTCTGTGATGCTGCTTTTGCTTTGCTTGAGAACTGCCTGTTTGCTCTGGCACACTTCAAGGACATGGCCAAGTGGCAGCTCCTTGTTCAGACGCCTGCATTATCAGGGATCCTCTTTGCAGAGGACCATAGGGCTTGTTCCCACTTTGCGGTAGGCCTGCGTGTTTTGGCCTTCTGAGTAACTCCATGTGGATGTGGTGCCCACTATGGGTGTAGAGGTCTTGAGGCCTGTGGCTGTGTTGAGGCCAGCCCTGGTGGCCTTGCTCAAGGTATATCAGCCCTGGTGGCAGCTTGGCCTGCCTTGCATGTGGGTAGCTGTGTTGTCTCATTCGTTATATTTAGTTTGACCTCTTTCCCATTTGTGTGCTTCTTCTTTTTGGCCCTCCTCTTTCCTGAGGATGATGTTGCCCAGATCTCATCTGTGGTGGCTTTCTCTTGCTTCCCCCCATCAATCATTTGTATTCTTTGAATTCTGACCCGGCTTGGAGGTTTTCTGGTCCAGTGGGGACCTCGTATGCTGTTGTGCAAGATAGGTCCTCTGGTGGGTCCGATTCCTGAGCTGTTGCACTTCCTGCTGCAAGTTCCTCTTCTGCTTGATGTTGCAACTACTTATCACAGAAAGATTGTTCTGCTTGTGGCTTGCATCAGCAATTTTGCAGTTCACCAGTTAACTGTGAATTTAAATGATACTGTGGGAAGAGGGGCTCTTGACTCATTTTGCTGGCTGGGGAGGGGTTGTTTCCAGGCTTTGCACCCAGATTCTGTCTTTCACTGCTTCTGAGACTTTAGAGTTTGAGGCTTCCCTACCCTCTGTTGCTTCTTGTTTCATATCACTTCACTCGATGTGTTCATGGATGCCTCATCTTAGGGCCCAGTGACTGACATTCACCAGGCCGCTCAAGAGTCAGTGATCGGGTCTGTTCCCTCGTGCGCACAGCGTAGTGCACAAGTTTGCGGCTGTTTGGTATAACTTGCAATAGATTTGATTTCTTCTGGCTCAATTCTGACTGCTCCCTGGTAGTTCGTTGCCTGAACTGAGGTGGGGGGGGTTGCTTTGATTTATTGCCCTGTGGAGTTGCACACTTTGAGTAGCTAAGATTTTGGATTCTCGGGGTTTGATTTTCTGTGCAGTTCATGTGGTGGGTGTGTCCAATGTTCTCACAGATGAGTTACCGCGCTTCTTTCCCATTTCCATGGAGTGGACCATTGACGTTTTCTTCCATTGTCTCCGAGATACGTTCGAGCCCCCAGATGTAGACTTCTTTGCATCGTCAAGGAACCAGCACCTCCTCTCCTGTATGGTTTTATTCCCTGATTGCAAGGTTCCCACAGTGGATGACTTTCGACTGGACTGGTCGAATTTGAGGCACTTTTACCTTTTGCTCCCCCAGTTCATTTGTTTTTCCAGATTCTGTCCAGCCTGGAGCTGTATTCAGGGATGGTGATCCTTCTGGCTCCTTGGTGGCTGGCCCAGCTTTTGTTTCTGGCACTTCTTGCCCAGTGTCCAAAACCTGATAGTCAGAATAAATATCTTGAGTGAGCTTTTTTTTTTTTTATAAAGATACCAGTCGAAGGTAACATTATTTAACAATGATGACTTGTATGGATGTGAACTATGGGATCTGTGAAAGGCTGACCTGGGTATACTAAATTGTGAATAGAGGAAATGTTCGAGATACCTCTTAGGTGAATCCAAAAACTTAGGTGAAACTTCATCCTCGCATTCATTTCTATCTTCTGCATGGGCTGATGATAATAAGTACCTATACTTGAAGAAATAATTCATAAACAAATAATATCCTTTTGCCTGAAGGAATTGCCCATGCAGCTAACACCATAAACTCTTTCAGGTATTTGACTCTTCTACTAGGAGTAGAAGAGTCTTTACACAAGCCATAGGTAAATTACAGGTAAACTAAACTGTGTATTATGACGATTATGAATTTAGTGAGGGTAGACAGGCTGCTTTGTTAAAGTTAGTTTGTATGGGAAAGTTATTGAAAATAGAATAAAAGGCAAATTGTGTATCATATCAGGAACTACAGATAGGATATTTTGGAACTAAAGTAACCATAAAATTTTCTTTACACTTGCAAAGTATATAATAATGTTTGTAATAATTTTTTATATTGGAATTATATTAGTAATTTTAACATTTCAGCAGCAGCTCAAGAAGGTCTCGGGGAACGCGGGAGACTAGTAAGTACAAAGAGGTCAGCTCAGAATCGGAGTCGGAGGATGAGGACAAGAAAAAACCAAATAAGTATTTTAAGAATCGTGAACGAGAACGAGAAGAAAAAAAGAAAAAAGGCAAGTAATAGCTTCACTATTTTCAAAATTAGTCTTTTGTGTGTGGTTTCCTGATATCTAATACAATGGAACCTTGGTGTACAAATTTAATCCGTTCCACGAAATGCATCATAACATGAACATTTGCATGTCGAATCAAATTTTCCCACAAGAAATCATGTAAACTGAATTAATCCATTTCACGCCCCCAAAAATATTTACTTAAAAATACATTTTATACAGAATACTACTCACATTTTTTACTGCACTTTACCTCTGTTGAAGACTCTTGTTGGCGTATGGAAGACGGTGTGGAGGGGGAAGGAGAGGTGGGGATAATGTCTGGAACGGGAATCCCCTTCCATTATATCAGGCAGTGATGACATTTCTGGGGTACTCTGTGTGTTTTGTAGGCATACCACTAGGACCTGGTTGTGGTCCACTTGTTGTTTGTCTCAATAAAAATCTGTCTAAAGACACTTGTTTTTGCTTATATTTTAACAATTGTCTTTAGTGAGACATCACATTGTCATTAAAAAGGTTAACACAACAGCTTGCTACAGCTTTATCTGGGTGAGACTTTTCAGCAAAACTTTGCAGTTCTTCCCATCCTGCACACATTTTCCCAGCCAGATCAACCACACGCATACCGTCTTCATGTTTATGAATAATTTTTTTTTCATCTATCATCATCCTCACAACTATTTTCTTAGTTTGAACTTTACAATTGACATTCTTGAGACCCATGGTGTGATGTATAACTTTTCTGTTCAGAAAAAAAAAAAATCACAGAATTTAAGCGCGGTTATCACTAGGTGGGATACATGGGTTAACTGATCATATATTGCCCTGCGTGACCCATACAAGTACGAACAAGTGATTCATTCGTACTCCAAAATGAACGTCATACACCTGGATTATTTTTATGATGAAATTGTCATAGTATACCGAAAAATTTGTACTCTGGCACACTGAAGTTCCACTGTATTTTCATCTTGAAAACATTTGTCAACTATTTATTTTATATATATAGTTCAGTATTTACAATACCTATATAGTTTATGGAATATAACTTATATAACTAAAGGATATATTTGTTATTCCTTTTAGACAAAGCTGATCGTAAGAGAAACAGGATACAGTCAGACGAAGAAGACTATGACCCCGATCAGGAAACAAAACGGAGAAGAAAAGGAGGCCTTCAGGATGATGATGTAGAGGATGACGATGACTCTGATTATGCAGAAGCAGGATCAGAATCTACACGGGTATGTGAAAATTCACTTTTTAAGTTGTATGTGGAGTAGGATATTGGAGAAAATGTTGATAGCATATACTGTACTCAATTAATATACCCGTAACATAAACAGTTGTATTGGATAGGGACAAATTGAATACTATGAGTTGCAAAAATAACTAGCTTACATGTATTTGTTTGAAAAGCCTATATTGCAAAAGCTAGGGCAATTATTTACAAGGACTCTACAACTTGAATCACTTTCTAAATCGTCACCATCATTATTCCACCTCACCATAATTTTAACTTAATTAATATAATTTTGATGTGAAGTTTTAAAATGATGGCTGAACTTCAGGGTGCAATATAGATATGAGGTTCAAGTATTTTTTGCATGAAATATGTATGTGTAAAACTTGCTCTGCAGTTTAATGTTTGTTGCTTAGTTAAGCCCTGCAGTGTTTGGCTTAATTCCATACAAATACATTACAATAAGAGTTTTGGGAAGTTTTTTCTTTGCTAAATATACCTTTAATTTGTATAATGTTTTGATGACTTTTTTTATATTTTTAGGGCAACAAAAGATCAGCACCACCTGTCTCACTTCCTAAGAAAACGTATACCAGCAAGCGAATAGAACGAAAGTTAGTGCCTCAAACCGAAAAGCTGAGTGCCGAGGAACTCATGGAAACTGGAGTTTATCAAAGATTCAATAGAGCTGTTGAGAAAATCTTTGATAACACTGAAGACCTTGATGTTAATGCAGAAATTGGTTAGTATTATGACTTTCACAGAATTTTATACATGTTGAAAATCTATATAGTGTACTGCAATAGGTGATGTTCTATTGTTGTGGTAGCCAAGAATCTGTAAGAAATATTCTAACCTCTTGATTTGGGGAAGGAGATCTAAATTGGCAGAAAATAAACTCCTGAATTCTCTCCTCCCTTAATACCTCTGCTGCCAGCACTAATTGGCATCTGTCATCTTATATCTCACACAACTCTCCATGGTTTGCTTGCCATTTCTGCTTGGAGATGTTGTTTGGGGTAATAGAATTCAGTTACTAACATCATTTTTATTCTTAACAGAAGAGGATGGTGATGTTCCACAGGAGTACCTAATTCCTAAGTATGAACTGACAGACCTATGTTCAGAGTCTGCAAAGCTCAAGAGTTTGGGAGCCATGGCCATTGTTCCACCTGAGCGGCTAGTTAGGCTCCTCAACATTCTTGAGAAAAATATCCGTGATGGAACAAGAGTCACTCCTATCGTAGATGAGGTAAGACAGATCAAAGAAATGCTTGCTCTACTCTTCACTTAGTCTCCTTTCTTATTTCTAGACCAACACTAGTGCTGCACCATCTCTTGATGATTTGCCATTTATTTTCTGCTTGTATTTATGTTTATTGATTATATTACCTCAGTTGCTATTGAGGCAATGCTCAACACTTGACTATAGCTTAGTAATCAAAATCAACAAACAAATTTTAAGTTTTGTGTTTTTAGCCATTTTTAGCCATTCAAAACAGTTAAAAAGAGAAATTCATTGAAGAGGATGTGAATTTCTGATAGCGTGAAGAGTGAGAGATACTAAGAGATACTAGAGATACTAAGTGAAGAGTCTTTGTTTAATATTCAAATTATCCAAAGCAGCAGCTTAAGAGTCTCATAGGTTTGAGCAGAGTTTTAAGGCATTAAAGGCATAAATAGGGTATATATTTCATAATGTTGCTTTATTATACAAGAATTAAGTGCCATTTTAATTCTGAGACAGGCTCTGTATATACAACCTGATGTTTTAGGATAAAATGCTAATTAAAATGTTTAATTTCTGAATTATTGGATGAACATAATTATATTCTTTGACTTAAATATTTATGCAGATTGAATGTATATTTTTGTTTGAATTTGTCTTGCTTTGCATGCTTAGAAACATGGAGTTAATTAGCTGTGGATTTGGAAACTGTGGAAACTACAGATTTCGTGTAGCTGATAACTAATGCGACTAGAAAGATGAGTTTCTCAAAGATGAAACATCTAAAGAATGGCACAAGAAATAAGAATGAATAGTCTTGCTTTCATGGCAATTGAAAATGATATTTCAAAAACTTACAATTTATTAATGTTTTGGAGAAATTTGTAACCAAGAAATTATGCAAAGCAAATATTTGAATTTTAATTGTGAATGAATTAAATTTATCTTTAAATTTGTTTTCTTTTTTAAAATATTACTGGGAGCCTCACAGTACTTGTAGCCCAGCGGCCTGTAGTACTTGTAGCCTAAAGACCTGAGTACTTGTAGCTCATGGACCTGTCGTACTTGTAGCTCATGGACCTGTCGTACTTGTAGCTCATGGACCTGTCGTACTTGTAGCATATGGACCTGTCGTACTAGTAGCTCATGGATCTGTTGTACTTGTAGCCCAGGGGCCTGCAGTACTTGTCACCCAGGGGCCTGCAGTATTTGTAGCTCATGGACCTTACAGCTACAGGTACTGTAAGCCCCTGGGGCACAAGTAGCCCAGGAGTCTGCAGTACTTGTATCTCATGAACCTGTCGTACTTATAGCTCATGGACCTGTTGTACTTGTAGCCCAGGGGCCTGCAGTACTTGTAGCTCAAGGACCTGTTGTACTTGTAGCCCAGGGGCCTGCAGTACTTGTACCGAGGTCTCTGGGCTACTTGTGCCCCAGGGGCTTACAGTACCTGTAGCTCATGGGTCTACAGTACTCATAGTCCCGGGGTCTACAATACCCTTCTTGCTCCCTCCAAATGGTAAAAGATTAATACCTCATTACTGTTTATTTCAACACCTCATAAGTAATGTTCATCTCCATACAGGATGACGATGATGATGATAAGCTTTGGATGGAGTTAGTGATGGAGCGCATTCTACGGGCAATGGATGCCTCCCTTACAGCCATGTACATCATGACTTCGCTGAACATGAGCAAGAGAGTCTACCTCGAGGATGTTATTGAAAGATGTGTACAGTTTACAAAATTTCAGCTCTCCAATACTATATATCCATCCTTTGACCCTGTTTACAGAGTGGATAGTAAAAAAGGTTAGTTTTAAAATGGGATATGTGAGAAAATTGTTAAGTGTTTATGGGAATCATTGGTAGCACATCACAAGTATAAGATAAACTACTTGTTCTTAAGGCATTAAGTGCTGCTCATTTTACTTAGTAAGAGTAAGTAGTATTTCAGGATTCCATGTTAGGATGAAAGTACTGTAGTAAAAACGTATAATTAAGGTGTACAATACAGTGGATTTTTTTTTTTTTTTTTTTTTTTTTTTTTTTCCCAAATTCTCTTTCTTCACTTAACTCTGTTTTATTGTTATATTCATTTAATAATTTGTTTGAAATTTTTCAGCCGAGAACTATGTGGGAAACATGAAGAGAAAACGTGCCCAGTGCAAAGATGTCCGCAATCGTAGCATTCTAGGTCTTTACAACAAGCTTCATGAGGTGGTGGGCTTGCTGGCTGATCTTCTCAGTATACAAACCCTCACAGATACCACAGTATTGCAACTCTCCACACTAGGTGTTGGGCCTTTTTTTGTTGAGAATGTGTCAGAATTGCAGCTGTCTGCTCTCAGGCTTGTTACTAAGGTAAGGACAACTTTTTACGACCCAAACTTGCAATCACTTTATTTTAGAGTTGGTTAAATGTATCTCTTCACTGATGTACAAGAAGTTTTAGTTTTGTCATTATTTACAGTACTGTATGTGAATAAATACCTTTAATCTTCTTTTCATATATTTTTCTGCTGTCTGGGCAAACACCACCTAACTCCATGCCACTGGTAAATATAAAAATAATGATAGGGGTGGATAGAATGTGTTCTGATGTGTAAAACATAAAAAAAAAAATCTGTGTGGACAGTTTTGCTGCATAGCAAAGGAAATTACAGAGTATAGGTGACGGTTTGAAGTAGGCATTTAGCTGGCTAATGACCAAGCATTCACCACCTGTGTGTGGATTTTAAAAAATTAAAATGAATGTTTCTCCTAATTTCACTTGCAGTGAATAGAGTATTTATCACTCATTATAAAACTAATAATTTATTTGGATGCAATTTGTGTTACCTTACAGGTATCAAGGAGTGCATGTTGCCAGCTGGCTTAACCATTGAAATGCGCATACCATCCTTAGATATTAAACTCATGGTCCTCAAATGTTTTAGATATTTTGCAACATCTGAAACACACTAGTGTATCTTGTGTTATCTGGAAAAGTCCCTTACATTTTTTGGATATTGTAAAGTCCCAAATTATCTCAAATTGTAAGTACCTTACAATTTGGGACATTTTTCCTATTTTCAGGGCATGGCTTTTAACATTATAGGAAAGCAAAATCTTGTTTTGAATTATATATTTCTGGCACATACAGATAATTACTGATGTAACCCTTGCACTGTCCAAGGGTTAAGGCAGCCATTGGTGGCAAGAAAGGAGTATAGGAAGAGAGCCAGCAAGAGAATTGCTCGGTGAAGTGATATTGTTTAACCTTATTCACATATGGGAGATGGTGGCATTGAAGTAGCATAAAAAAGTCCGAGATAGTGCAATAGAAATTGATCCAAGATGCATTTATTGCATTTGGAATATTGAGGGAATATGGAATGAAAATGACATAGAAAAATGTCAAGTGTAAGGCAGTAAGTCATAAGATAAAAAAAGAGTATTTGGAGATTGATAATTTTAAACAAATGAATGATAATTGACTGAAGAGTATATATCAGAGTGAAATAATAAAGATGGTCATACATTGTGAGGAAATTAGGATTATTCAGGAATGGTTTTCGAGATTAATAAGGAATAAAATTAGATGTATTGTTTTAATTTGGTGTGAATATTTAAACATCTAACATTTTGTAATGACAACATTGTGAGCACTTTACACCTGGTTATATAAAGTGGTGGATGTTTGTGTGGCTTTAATGCTATAGTGGATATGTTAATGTATATGGGAATGAATGGGCCCTTGCAATTGTCTCGGCATTCTTTTATACTTTCTTGTTTTCCTATTTACTCTCTGCTAATTTCTTCCCACCCCATGGAATCTTGTATTGCTATAATGGTAATGATGAGTTTCACCATAACTATTTTTTTTTTTTAAAGAGTTGCTACATTCAGTATTTCAAATACTTTAACCAAATTGATGCAGATAATATGCATAATTTTTAGATTTTGTTTTGTTTTGGTAATGATGGTAATTTATTTCAGGTGTTTTCGAAGTACAACAAACACCGCAGATTATTACTGGACGATATTCTTGCTTCTATAGCACGTTTACCTAATAGTAAGAGGAGTTTGAGAACTTACAGATTAAATTCTGATGAAAATATTCAGATGTTGACGGCCTTAGTGTTACAGTTAATACAGTGTGTTGTTGAACTTCCGGAAGAGCTGGCACAAGTTGCTGGTGTTAAAAGTAGTAGTGAAAGTGATAGTCAAAATTCCAAAGATTCGAAAGATTCTAAAGATTCTAAAGACGCCAAAGTTGCGGAGGAAAAAAAAAGGGAGTTGAACATGGACAGAGACGTGTTAGTGTGTAATCGCTATGAAACTGCCATGAGTACAGCATATAGTTTTTTATCGGTGTTCCTTCAGAAAACTGGCAGCAAAAGTGAGGAAATTGATTATAGACCACTGTTTGAAAATTTTGTGCAGGATCTTCTTGCAACGGTGAACAAACCCGAGTGGCCTGCCTCTGAACTCCTCTTGTCACTTTTGGGCAAGCTTCTAGTACAAAAGTTTAGTAACAAAAACTCTGATATGGCCCTACGGGTATCTTCGCTGGACTGTCTTGGAGTGGTAGCTGCAAAACTGCGCCGAGATGCAATCTCCTCACAGTTGCAACTGGAGAGTATCAAGGCTACTATCCAGGAAGTGAAAGAGGAGGAAAACCGTGATGCTCCGATGCTGGAGGATGGATCTCCTCCTACAGAAAATGGTACCACAAATACTACCAACTCATCTTCAAGCAAAAAAAGTAAAAAAAAGGTTAGTAATAGTAGGAATATTATTTGGGCTATGCAGTATTGCAAGTAATGTTAAAAATACTTTAATCCTAACTTGGCAAATATAGTTAAGAACCTTATTGTATCTGAAGTTTGAAAAGCAGTATATAATTGAAATGCAAAATGTTTTTTCTACTGTTAGGTTTCAAAATGCATCTAACATCAAAATTGTCACCCAGACTGTCCAGAAATATTATATATTTATTTTACTTGTATTTTCTTAGGAAATGTTAGATCTGTATTTAAAGTAGGGAAGAAAAGGAAAAAATCATATATCTACCCACATTTTAGCCTGGGTGGTTAACATTCCTTTTGTCATTAACCAGGATTACATTGTGAAATGTGATGGGAGTCAGAACCCCCTGAAAAATGTATGTGCATTACACACAGAAATCACAATAGCGTGATGCATCAAATAAACAAATATACAAGGGCCGTGGATTAAGGCTGAGGTTGATTAAGGCAGCGTCTGGGATCCTCTCGGATGTAGGTTCGAACCCTCATCACAGCTCCTGTGGATTTGTTCATGTATATGCATGTTTTCATACAAAAAATATATTCAAAGGTAAGGTATCTGTATGCAGAGCCAAAAAGAATACCAAAATATATTCTTGTATATACAGTGCCGTGACAGACATCATCGTTTGTGTATTTGACAAAAGGGGACATCTGTTTTGGTAAACTTGAAAGGGGAGACTGGTAAGTTATTTAGCTTGCATAATGAAGACCCTAGTTAAAAAAGTCCGGAATTATAAGTCATGTCCTTGCAAGGCCTCACCAGTACTACTAGGCAGCCTTTGTAATGTTAAGAAGAGCTTGAAAGGACTTTTGGGGTGTTTATAAGCGAGTTTTGTGGCTGCTCTGGGCTAGACTAGGCTTTTTTTCTGTACCTTCCCTAGCAACAGTATGACTCAACAGAGATGTTTGAAAATATTCCTGTGAATGTGGTGTAGAATGTCCCCTACCTTGACTGTCATGATTGAATCTAAAGAACATTTGAGTGAAATTGCTAAGAAGTTAGTTACTAACCTTCAGAATGCTCAGTTCTCTCTGCTTTGGGTCATTACTGTGCACCGTTCTAAAAGTTTTGGTAAACAAAAATAAATAATATTTTTGAAGTTTGTTCTTTGCAGATGAATTAAAAAGGTAAAAAAAAAAAAGTTTAAAAATAATTCCATATAAGCTGTTGAATATACATATTTTCATGTTTATTTATTCCAATAATAATTATTTCTTAAGTTTAGGCAAAACGTTACACATTAATTTTGTTTTCTTGTAGGGGTTCTCGTTGGCACTTTTTTCCTATTTGGTTGGGGCCTTCCCTGTTCTGGGACTTTCCTGTTTCTTCTGATCTGTTTTCTTGCCAAGGCGAGATGGTGATGGTGCAGGCGATGAGTCACAATAACGTGGCTAAAGTACGATGACCAGACCACACACTAGAATGTGATAGGACGACGACGTTTTGGTCCGTCCTGGACCATTCTCAAGTCGATTCTCAAGTTGACAATCGACTTGAGAATGGTCCAGGACGGACTGAAACGTTGTCGTCCCTTCACATTCTAGTGTGTGGTCTGGTCAACATGGTGATGGTGTTGAAGTTTTCCTGATACTGTAGCAGTATTCTTGGGGATGAATTTTAAGTTTTCTCCCCCTCTTCCTTTGCCAATGGAGGGGGGGGGGGGAGGAAATCATTTGGATGGGTACATGTCGCTGTGGAGCATAAGTCAACAGAGTCTGCCAAGATTCTCAATGTCTTGTGCAGGCACAGATTTTGACTCTGGGAAGCAACTGAGGGACTGCTCAGAAGGGGATGGAGGATTTCTTTAATTCGGTTCACTTATTTTGTGCTTTATTTATTACTTCTTCAACCCGTTCTCGCAAATTTAATAAGTCAATATTGACTTAATAAATATGTGCATAGGTGACATACTTAACATAATAGATACCCTTAAAAAGATTCATAGAAAATACCGACCTTACCTAACCTTGTTAGTATGTTAAGATAAGCATCTTATTGCTTCGTAATTACAATTATTACCTAACCTATAATAGGTACAGGTTAAGTAATAATTGTAATTACGAAGCAATAAGATGCTTATCTTAACATACTAAGTAGGTTAGGTAAGGTCGGTGTTTTCTATGAATCTTTTTAAGGGTATCTATTATGTTTAGTATATCACCTATGCACGTAGTTAATAAGTCAATATTGACTTTACGAATTTGCGAGAACGGGTTGACTTCTTAGCAATGAGAATTGATATGGTATCACTAGTGCTGTTCTGTTTGTAACAGAAAGGTGGAAGCGAGAAAATGAAAGAAAATAACGGACCCTCGGATGAAGAACAAGAGCGGACAATGTTCTTGCAACGTGTGCTCTTAGATTGGCTGGCAGTAAACTCTGGAAGTGAATCTGCCTTACTCCATGCGAGACATTTTTTTATTGGTCAGTGGTATCGAGAAGCATTCTCAGAGATCATGCGTCAAAAGCAAGGACCTCTACCGCAGCCTAGTGCAAGAAAATCAGGGAGTCATAACAAGAAGAAGAGAAAGAGAAAAGGTAATGTAAATAGAGAGAAAATATATATGTATAGTGCTTCGCTCAGTGTTGAACTGATAATATGTAATAATAAAACTTTTTATTATTATATTCAAATAATATTAATTCTATATTCTTGCCTTTTACAAGTTGATGAAAGTGAAGAAGAAAGCAGTGAAGAATCAGATGATGAAGATGATGAAGGGAAGAAAGGGCAAGTAGATGAGGCTTTAGTGGCAGAGGTTACACAGCTTGCAGAAAAAAGAAAGTTATTCCTTCTCACTAAGGTACAGTTTCTCACTAAAGCTCTTATTTTTTAAGTGAATATTAGTTAAAACTGTTCTCATGTGGCATCTGATTTTTTTTATTGGATTTAAGTGTTAATTTTTTCCGTTTCCCATTTTTGTTTCCCTATCATGTCATAATTATCAACCAAGTGCATGTTTATGTTGTAGTCCATGATACAGTGTGATTTATACACTGCTTCTTGTTGATTTTTTAATCTTGCCAATGTTTACCATGCTACCAGTGTGAATGGTTGTCAACATATTCACTTTACATCTGTCTTTCCTACGCACTGCAAGAATATTGTCGCATTATTTTATCTGGCACTTGCCTACTACATTATTATCTCCAAACAGATACAAAATGTGATGAAATTCTATGTTAATAATTTGTTAATCAAAAATTTAGCATTTCCAAATGATTTTGGTGTAAAGATATACAAAAAATGTTGTTATTTGTACAATTAAACATATTAATTGTTTTAAAACTTAACTTAGACTGGATGCACCAAACAGATCAAAACAGGTCTTGTGTTTGAGTACGGTTTGACTAAAGTTTAGATTTTTTGGAAACTGCATGAATATAAGTAATATGTATAAATTCAGGTAATATGGCATATTTCAACTTGACACAAATATTTTACTGACTGATCATTGCTATCTAACTTCAGATACCACCCTTTCCACCAGCATCACCTGGAGCAAAAACACAGACTTTGCAAACTCACATAGGATATGAAAATGCCGAACTCATCACTAGATACCTTGCATCAAAGAGACCCTTTTCTCAGAGTTTTGACATGTATCTTAAACAGGTAAGTTAGGTACAAGGTGACAGAGTATATATTTAAGTATCCTTGACAGTTATTCCATATGTTTTAAAAGAAAGTAAATTAGATAAAATAAACATGCCTTAAACAATTAAATAGGATAAACATCCTTAAAATAAAACACAGTTAGGATCTTATTTTCACAAATAATGATGAACTCGTAAGAAAAATCATTGAGAAAAAGGAATTACTGAATGACACCAACCTTGAATTGTGATAGCATTGACATCATGCATAACATTTTTGCATGATGCAAATGCACATAATTACAAAATAGTCACAAAGTTTATATGATCCTGCCCAACTTGGTTTAGAGCCGATCCTACTGGTATGTACTGCATGCAGACTTTACAAAAGCTTTCAACAAATGTGATCATGGTGTAATAGCACATAAGATGCACACAAAAGTATCTTAGATGTTTGAATTTGTTTGCTTACAGTTTGATACACAACATTTAAATTATCTCTAGGGAAGGGAAGGGAACTATCAGGAGTAAGGGCTAAACCATTACAATTATATAGCATTTGGAAGGTTAAGGATTTGGGATGGGATGTAGGGAAGGAATGGTGCCCAACCACTTGGACAGTTAGGGATTGAATGCTGACCTGCATAAAGCAAGACTGTCGCTCTACTTTCCAACCCAAGTGGCTGATGCCATTCATCCCCCCCTCCCATTCCAAATCCTTATCCTGATCCCTTCTAAGTAGTTAAAGAATTATTAGAAAATATTTACAAAATGTTGGGTTCATGTGTAATTATAGATAGGGAGTGGGAGTCATATTGCATCCATTTTTAGAAGTTTTTAATAATAGAATACTTGTAAAAATGTATTGGGTAAAGTTTAAAGTTACAATGTGTTGTAGCTCATAAAGTTTAATTTTCAACAGATTCTGAGAGTTTTAACGGAGTCTGCGATCGCAGTCCGCACAAAGGCTATGAAGTGCCTAACTATGGTGGTAGAAGCTGATCCTGCAGTTCTGTCTCGTAATGACATGCAGCTTGGTGTTCACCACTCCTTTTTAGACCACTCTACTTCTGTTAGAGAAGCAGCTGTTGATCTTGTTGGAAAGTTTGTGTTATCACGTCCAGAAGTCTTGAACACCTATTATGAAATGATTTCTGCAAGAATATTGGTAAATTATCAATTATTGTTTATATACTTCTCATGAATTATCATTACAATTTAATTATTTTTATTTGTGTGTATATATTGATTACTATATTGTGATCATAATATAAAATTTATAAGGGTTTTTGTTAATACAAAGTATAATTGAACATTCAGGACACGGGTGTTAGCGTAAGAAAACGTGTTATTAAGATCTTGAAAGACATATGTCTTGAATGTCCTGACTTTACCAAGATCCCGGAGATATGTGTGAAGATGATTCGAAGAATCAACGATGAAGAAGGTATCAAGAAGCTAGTGCAGGAGGTCTTCCAGGTGAGGCCTTTGTTTCTTGATAAATGTTAGAAAATTGTTACCCATTTGGTGAATTAAAATAACATAAGAATGAAGGTAACTGCAGAAGGCCTATTGGCCCATAAAGGAATTGCTTTACAGTGATGTGGGTTTGTGCTCTGGGCAGTAGTTTTCTTAAAGCAAATCTCTGAACTGAAATGATTACTAAAATGATTACTAAAAATTATTTGTGGAGTTTAATATTTCAGCTTGAAGGTAAAATGTTGAACAACATAATAGTATCCACTCGATATGTCATTAGTTGTCATTACATTCAACACTTGATTTCTGGGCTGTTCCTCAATAGATCCCCAGTGCATTATTCCAATAGAGCCTTGAAGAAACTGTCTTTGGGCTGAAAAACAAACAAACAAAAACAGGTTAATCAAGGTACAAAAACATAGGGCCTGACCCATGGGGAAGGGGGGGGGGGTCACAAAACCAGGGCATGGGAAAGAAAACTCTTTACATGCAGGGCAACTGGAAAGGTGCCCAAAGAGTCACACAGGCTCAGTGAGGATGGGGAATCAAATAGGCCAAGAGGCAGAGGAAAAAACTAGCTAGAATGGCCCATGGAAGGGAACAGTGACAGACCAATGCTGAATAACCTGAAAAATAAATTGAAGCCAGCAAGCAGAATGGCAAAGTCAACAGAAGTGGATTTTTGTACATAATTTTGGACTTGCTTATTAAGGTCACATAAGGCCACACTGAATGGCCAGAAGGGTGCAGGTTCCCCAACCCTGCTCTAGACCCTCTCCCTGTAGACTCCGGTATGTAACTAACCACACCACCACCACCAGTATCTCATGTATCATTGAGGACTGTGAAACTTGGTGGGTTGCAGAGAATTACAGGAAGACCATTACAATCTCTAGAAGTCAAGAGTGCAAATGACTGAATTCAACTCCAACAAGTTCAAGGTAGTGAAGATGGGAAAGGGTGATAGGAGACCAAAAGGAATCGGTAATCGGTATCTTAAGGAAAAGACGCCTACAGAAATCAGAGAAAATGATTTAAAAGTGGATATAATTTCAGCAGTAACAATGAAGTTTTACTGAAACTAGATAACAATAGCAGTATATGGGATGCTGGCAAACATTAGAATGGTATAAAAGAACCTAAATATGCAGTCTTTCAAGAATGCCTATACTCTATCTCCTTTGTTAGACTAATATTAAAATACTCTTCTTTAGCATAGAAAATGCACCTCTTGTAGCACAAAATTAAACAGGGGAAGGTGCAGAGGGTTACATCATAGTATCCTTGAGGACAACAAGTGGAGTGTACTAAAAGTAGTGTGGGAAACCACCTCTTTACATAATATCAATGCCAAATACAACCAAATACTGAAACATATGGAAATTTAAAAACAAAAAATGACCAGGTACACTGAGGTATTAGTTCTCGCTGTTATGTAGTCACTGTTAGGCAAGTACCTGCCACAGATTTTTGTTATATATACTGTAAATAGATTGTTGGCATAGACTGCAGAAGGCTAAATAATTACTCTTTTTTTTTTACCTGCAGTTATGTATGCAACAGGGTTCAGAGTGTTTTTAAATATTCTTATTTTCCCTTCTGTTGTTCAGTTTATTTATATATTTTCTTAATGATCCTTTCCCTGTTGTGTATAATAATTTACTGCATAGTCTGCTTAACATCACTAGGTTACTTTTACCAACTGAGTTAAGGAATTTTAAATGTAAGATTTCTTTCTCTATGCTAGTGAAGACCAAATTGATAAAGGTGTTTTGCTTTCTCCTGCTGATCGTGTGTGTGCTGCCATATGAATGTATCAGTCATCAGATTGTGTGTGTTTTCTGACCTGGCCTCATTTATTGTCCAATCTATATATGCGCAACTTACCTTTCCCCACTTTAATAATTAATTTGTCTTTCTGGATCAACCTATAACCCGTAAGCAGGAGATGAGTCACAATAATGTGGCTAAAGTATGTTGACCAGACCACACACTACAAGGTGAAGGGACGACGACGTTTCGTTCCATCCTGGACCATTCTCAAGTCGATTGTGATTATGACAATCGACTTGAGAATGGTCCAGGACGGACCGAAACGTTGTCGTCCCTTCACCTTCTAGTGTGTGGTCTGGTCAACAACCTGTAACCCATTGTAGGTTTTGATTATCTTGAGTAATCTTTGTATTAGTCTGTTATAGTCTTCTGTTGTGCATGCGTTATTGAGAGATGGATTATACACGTGTTTACAGGTCAATGTTGAGATGTATATAGTCTATTGAAGAAATGCAAAAATATTAATTATTTTTACTTTGATTTAATTCAGAATATGTGGTTTACACCAGTAAGAGAGAGGCCACATCTTGATGAAGAAGCTCTGCTCAGAAAAGTCAATAATATTACTGAGGTAGTGGTGGCGTGCAGGGACACAGGCCTTGACTGGTTTGAGCAGCTTCTACATAGTGTAAGTTATCAATGTAGTTTTTTATATGTGCTTTTCATTATTTTTTCCAATTTTTTCATTATTTGAGTAAAATAAGCTCTAGCTCTTGGTTCTTGTTGATTGCATGCATGACCCACTGATTGGCTGGAACCTCACAGCAAAGTGAGTTTTGCAGCATGCAGGCAAGTGCCTCCCTGCAACAGTAGACCTTTTTTTTACAGACACCATCATGTCACCACCATTCCAGATGTCTTGTAGTTCTTGGGAAAATAGCTCACACGGCTTACCGAAAGGGAAACCGATGAGGGATTGGCTCAGAGTCCGGCTTTTTTATGAGGTGTCTGCTGCACCCCTTATCACTTTTATTACACCTCTGAGTTTAGTGTACCCACTGACTCACACACAGGCAGGATCCAAGAGTCAATGCTCGATCCTGCAAGCACCAATAGGTGAGTACACATGTTAGACTCCTTGGTCAGGTGTTTCAAGATGGGTTGTGTGGATCACTGACCGTTTGTACGCTGTGAAAACCGCCCACAAGGAATGGGATTGTTTCTGCGACCATTGAAGGGCAACCATGGCACCCCGCAGTTTCACTCGCCGAACAAGAGGAGAAACCATAGCCACACTCATTGTTGTTAGGATACCAATCCATCCAGGTCTTTGACATCCCAAACATCAATGGGTTGTGGTGACCTACTATGATGTGAAATATGCCCACCTTTGCTGGAGTGGGTGGAAGCATACTCAAGCATACCTGGGTTGCTTTGTTACATCCCCACCCAGCCGACAGCCAGTGAGTTGAATACCCTCAGTTTGACCATCACGGTTCCATCAGTTTGGCTCTTGACAATTTCACGTACTCATGAACTCTTTAAAAGTTCTTTTAAATTTTCCCCTTGTTTTCTTTCCTATTGGTTGTCAGTTGTGTGGTGTTATCTCCAAATCATATTTTCTCTTATCAGCATCAACATTTGAAGCTGTGGATGCAGTTAGTCTCTTAATATTTTCTCCTCAAGCCCATTCTGCTTGTTCACCACTTGTTCTCCGAGGGAATACTGCACTTCGTTAAGTCCCTGTATGTATTCACTTACCAGAGCTAGTTTTGTGCAGGAATTTAGCTCTATCTACTGAGCCCCTGATTTTGCCATCAGTTATCTACTGTATAATTTAAATCTTTTTTTTGTTTTCGTCATTCAGGTACCTAGTTTTAAAACAGTTACCTTATTCTTTCTCGTACTCTAATTAAGATCCCTTGTTATTTTTTTTTTTTTTTTCTACTGGGATCCAGGACCAGAATCTGGTTCTCAAACAAAGTGATGGAAGAGTGGATATTAGATAGCAACTCAAAATCTTACCAGGAAGTATATGCAAAACCAAAGAAACCGCTTGACAGAAAGAAGTGTAATACAAATGATGGTTACAAGATGAAAGTAATCCCAGCTCCCACTTGCTTGTCTGCCACCAGATGGCAGCCAAAGCTGTCTATGGTCCTTACACTTTCCCACCTCATTAAACACCCATTACTGTGAGGGCTGCTACTTTTAAAACATAAGTGATGTTGGATTTTCCTTAAATCACTTACGTGTGAAGCCATTGCATTTACTTTTGTGTAAATGCATCCGGGCAATTGTGTTTATACCACCCACATTACATTTTCTCCTCTTATTTTGTTTGGATTTCTCCACTTAAGATGTCAACCTTATCAAAGTCGCCTTGTTCCCAGGGTAGTGCTTGGAACATTACGAAAGTGAAGCCTGTTGAGGGTAGAGTTGTTGTGTTACCTGTATGCTTGTGTATATGTTGTATCTTGCCTTATCATCTGTGTGTTCATGCTGTGCGTCTACAATGGGTTTGTGCTTGAAAAATATTAAAGATTGTTTTCTTATCTGTCGCTTCTTATGCCTTTCCTCGAAATCTGATTGTTGGGGTTAGGTGTACAATAGTCAACAATGCTTCCATTGTGCCTGATACGTCTACCTGTGCTTTAACAATCTAGGCAATTAGATGAATACAATTTGGTGAGTACACTATCATCATCCAACAACCACCCTTTCCTTCTTCATCCACCTTCACTTTTTCAAACATTACTTCTTTTTCTTAAGGGTCTGATTTGTATATGTTCAGAGTGGATTTTCATTTTTATTGATAAAAGTTCCTAATATTGTTTGTTTTGTGAGATATATTATACAGAAGTACCTCAGATTTCTCCCTCTGTTATGATCAATACACACCACCTTCAACTAGCAGATACCTGCATCAACTTACTCAAACTATTTCATTATAAATATAGAAAGTAATAAAATAAGATTGAAGTTCATAATAGTTTATTGTGAGCAAAATACAACAAATAATTTTGACACATACTCTCTTTGGGAAACGTAAAACGCAGGTGATCACTTCTGTCTATAAACATTGTGGTTCCTCTTACTTAACCATTCATTATGCTTAACAGTTTAACACAGATAAAATTGATTTACATATTTTATAATGTTGATACTGTGTTTATTGTATTAATTCCTCGACATTATGCATAAGTATGTAGTGTATTTATTACTTTTTCTGTTTTCATGTTCAGATGTTTAAACCTAGAGAAGATAAAGAGGATGTTACTAAGGTCAACACAGAGCCCCCAAAGTCCCTAGTGACGGCATGCAAGCAGATAGTTGATTGCTTGGTCAGACACATCCTGGTTCTTGAAGAAGATGGGCAGGAAAGTCATCCGGGCGATGAACCACGGACCACAACACAGCGTATTTTAGCATGCCACAAGACACTCTATTTATTTGCAAAAATCCGTCCCCAGCTTTTGGTGGACCACGCAATAACACTTCAGCCTTACTTAGCGTGGAGATGCCGGGTAAGATTCTTGTTTATGGATTAGTTCAGGAAAGTTTTTTTTAGCAAATATTTCTGTTAGGCTTTGCGAGGTTAATTTTTTTTTTACTGTTGTGGTTCAATTTTCAATTAGGGAAAATATGATTATTAGGGTTTCTTATGGTTTATCTTATTTTTTCCAGTTCAACTTTCTTGAGATTTCCATTAATATCTTAAGAATTCCTCATAATACTGTACAGTATTGTTGCCGAATTGAGAAGTATTGCTGCTCTTGAAGTTGATGATTGTATCCCAATAGTAAATTTTCTGGGCTGGACCCCAAAGTAGCTCCATGGTGATTAGGCACGTCAAGCATATTCAGTGTAAAGTCTCCCAATTGTACCAGGTCACAAAATGTATGAGGCTTATCAGAAATTGGGATCAGAATCTAATTCTCTCAAAGTGGAAAAGAAAGCATTGAGGTCAGAGAAACCCAGAACTTAAGAACTGTCATGAAAGTCACATGGGAAACAAAATAAACCACTTCTCTTAGGAAAGAAATGAAATTTGGAAAACAAGGTAAATGATAGTTAATAACTGGTAAACAACCTTCGCTGCAACTCTCGCGGCTGTCACCTGGTAGCAACTGAGGCCGTTTGTGGTGCCAGTCTGCCATCCTCCTCACGCGCCAGGTACTGACTTAATCATAACTCCCATAATGAGATCACTTTTTGTTACCCTTAGCTAAATGGTGTTGGTGTTTCTTGACACATTTTATTCTGTGCAGAACTGTGCTTTCATTTTTGTTTAATGATTACACTTCACAGTTGTCTTTATATCACCCATTAGTGTGGGTTTCTATCTTGTTTTGAGTTCTACTTTAGGTTGAGATGGAAACCCTTTCTACACCAGCGTTATTCCTGGGTTTTCCTTTGCATCTTTTGAGTGGGCCAGATTCTGGTACTGGCTTTTGGTAGGCAGTCATGGGTGAGTCTCTCCTGATGTGTTCCTAAGACTTGGATACTTACAGGTTGTAGCATTGGGGAGTTCCTGAGTGGTCCATCAGAAAGAGGCATTTCATTACATTAAACACTGGATTTTTACTTTTAAATGCAGAATCCTTCCTTTTTGAATGTATGTATTTCATTAGAAAAATAAAATGCAAAAATATTTTTGTTGGGTGTTGGCTCTTTTAACCGTGTGACACTGTACAATGCCAGAAGGAATATTGACCACCGGTCTGGTCAATATAAGGGCAGATATATGATTTTTTTTTTTTTTTTTTTTTTGTCTTTTGTCTTTTGCTTGTTTTTAAATTCATATCTTCCATTTCATGAGAATAACAAGTAAAATAATTATATTTGTTTTTTTCTCAGTCAAGATGGCAATTTTGATGATGACAATCCTTAAAGTGAAGCACTCTTGGGCCATTTTCATCTCTGGTCATCTCGCGTACATTCTGCACCTACTTTATTCTTGTATTGGGTCCTGTCAGTATTGTTGTCCTCTCGTTTTCAAGTTGGCATTTTTGTTGGCTCGGGTTTCTGGCATTTGTTTCATTGATCTTCATGCTCCCTCAGAAGCAAGGATTCTATTCTCTCAGTCCATGTAATTGTTCTTGCCACCTTCGGCCTTCTTGGCTGTTTTCATTTAAGTATTAGCTTTCCTATTCCAAATGGGGTCACTTTGACATTGATGGTTGGTTTATCCAGCCAAGGTGCTTTAACCCTTAAACTGCTCAACACATCAATAGCTGTAGTGAGTAACTGTAACAGAATTGTGCATTTTCCAAGTGGAAATACCCAAATCTGTAACAGTAAAGGAGTTTGCAATCCAAGAGACAGATCCGGTACTATGGAACATATTGATAGTAACACAATAGATTACTGGATTTATAGTGGGCCCTTATCATGTCAGAATCATGATAGCAACCTTTCAAACTCACACAGTGTATAAAACAGCTGGAGTAGAGAATTTGAAAGCAAAGTATTTATCAAACAGTGGGTTCTAACGTGAGCTGTGGAATGGTGAGTATGTAAAACGTGAATGGCTACTCTATTCACCATCCCAAGGTCGTTTGTACTGTTTTCGTATGTTGTCTGTTGTCCAAGAATGAATCTTCCTGTGTTACATTGGGTTCAATGATTGGAAGCACAACAATGTTATTGTAGAACATGAAAATGGAGAAGAACATGGAAAGTGCATGGCAGCATATTTGATTAGACATAAAGAAACGAAGTGTAGATTTTTTATTACTTGAGCAACGTCGCTCAGAGCAGGAATATTGGCATAAAGTGTTGACACATGTGGTTTCTGTAATTTGCTTTCTTGTTTCTAGAGGTTTGCCATTCATGGAGGAAATTAGATTATTGGGTCAGCAAAAAAAGGCAAGAGCTGCTGAGTGAATTTGACCCTTTCTTGGAAGAACATCTCAAAATGTATGGAAATCCTTGAAAAGGAAATAGTCTTCTGTCTTCTTCTTCATATTGTATTTTTTCATAATTCATTTTTTTTGAGTGGCATAATAGTGTACTCAGAAAAATGCTTTTCACAAGCTTGAGGTCTATTTTATGATTTTTATTGCATGTACATACTTTATACAAATTCCTTAGCCGGTGTGGTAACCAGTTTGTAATGACCTTCAACATATGTTTTTGGTTTTCCAAAAACACTCTTGAAGAGAATTGAAATGTCTGTAGAAAATTCTTCAGGAGGTTGCTCATTTAGGAAAAATTTTCTTTTCTAATAATAATCAAATGTTTTATATTCTTAAGATGAATATTTGTAAATACTGATGATTCTCACCATAGCAGAATAGCTAGTTAATAGCATTCTCTGTGCTATTATTTATGTTGGTATGATGTCAGGTAAATTGTTTTATTAATAAGTAAGTCCATAGTTACTACGTATTAATTGTTCTCAGTTATTATTATGCTTTATTTTTATTTACAAAATATCACATTTGTCTATGGAATGTACAAAGATCATGACATTTCTTAGTTGTGAATTTATATTCTACTTAGTCACTATAAGTTGTTTGTTTCTCTTCATGCAGACGCAAGTAGATTACACAATGATTGGTGTGGTGGCACGAACGTTAGAACTAGTTGTACCCCTAATGGAGCACCCAAGTGAAACCTTTCTCTCACAACTTGAGGAAGATGCTGTCAAGTTAATTTTACAGCATGATCGAACAGTCATCACATCATGTCTAGCACTTCTTGGGTCAATTGTCAACACAGTTACCAAAAATTACAGACTCATTAAGGATTGTTTTAATAGGTAAGTAGAGTTTTTAGTTTTATGTTGTTAAATATAATACAAATATTAGTTTTAAATTTGTAAATTTTAATGAATAGTTGTATGTAAACTCCTTGGTTATTCAGCACATACATACATGAGATCATGAGTGAGGGCCACGTATGAATGTTTGTGTGATGCAAACTCAGTGTAGCAGCTGAATGAGTTGACCAGACCACACACTAGAAATTGAAGGGACGACGACATTTCGGTCCGTCCTGGACCATTCTCAAGTCGATTGTGATGAGGAGGTAGGGACAGACAATAAATAGGCAAGAGAGAGCTGAGGAGGAAAGTCAGGTGTAGGGGATGGTAGTAATGGAAACTGCAGCAGGCCTATTGGCCCATACGAGGCAGCTCCTATTATAACCACCGAAGGAGAAGTAATAGGAAAAAGAAGAGGATAGCAAGGGAGCGTAGGAGAAGACAATGTAGGTGTAAGAGCGTAGGTGTGTGGTCTGGTCAACATACTTCAGCCACGTTATTGTGACTCATCGCCTGCAGCTGAATGAGTAATTGAAGTACAGTTTAACTTTAATGTGTGCACATAATACAGTTTTTTTCACAGACAAAGTACCATGTAGACTAGTTGAAAATCTGAGATGTGTGAAAGAACACTATTTTCTCCAAACCATTACAACTTGTATAGATGCAAAGGCTTGGCGGACTTGAAAGGGTTCAGGATAAGGATTACAGATGGGACACATGAAGCTTCTGCCGTCCACCCCAAGTGGTTGGAAGGACAAGAGTATAGTTATGGTGATATATATAGAGAATATAATTGTGTGTATGAAATATATGTGAATGTTGAAGCACAGCAAATGATCATTTGAAATACCTTGACTGTGTGATTGCTAAAAAGAAATATCTATGCAAACTCTTCAGCATTCCGATGATGCTAAAATGTGTCATCCTTACTCCGACGGTAAATGTTCTGATAATGCTAAAATGTGCCGTTCGCCTTGAAATTAAAAAACTTAATTTTTTTTTTTAACACTGGGCATAGCTTAACAAAGGTTCATATATTCAGCTTCATCATACAAATTCTATAATCAAATTGCATTTAATCTTGCAACTATACTCCAGTAAATTATTTTTCTAACATTTTAACACCAAGTTTATAATAATAACCCAATACTGTACATGACTGAGAAAACACAAGAGAATAACAATTTTAGGTGTTGCTGAGCAGGACCCTCGGATGCCTGGAACAGTTAGTGAGGCACGCTCGGACGGGTCGGTACGTTAGTGTTAAAGTATAGAGTAGGATCGTTCAGGAAAGGAAATAGCTGTTATAATGAAAACATGATGAGGAATACAAGATAGGAAGAGATGCAGCTAGAAGACTCCATAGAGTGATGGGTCTGACTTGCATGTATGGTTGCAAGACCATAGTGTAGTATCAAATGGGAAAATCAAATATTTTAATTTTGGATGCTCATCACCACACAAGTATTTATAATCTTTCCAGTGTTCTGACCTCAACTGCTGTGCTACGTCGTTCATTTTTGTATCAGATTTTATTAGTAGAAAATGGACAATCTGAGAAGCATGTGTGGAGTTAAGAATATATAAGTTAGAATGAAACCATTATGCATTATGTCAAATACAGCAAGATTGAGAAGAGCATAATGAAATGGTTTGTATATATTGAACAAATGGATGATGGTAGACTGGTAAGGAGAGTGTATTCAAGTGAACTTGTTGACAGGAGTTATGAAATGCTGGGAAGAATGCATGTGGACATAATGTGAAGCTTTGGGAATTATATTTGGATAATTCTTGGATTATGGTAAGGAACAAGGCTGGGTGGTTTGTAAGAACAGGATAAATGTGTTTTTGTGTGTAATGTATAGTATATGACAATTTATAAGGAGCACTATACATACAAATGAAGTGGTGGATTACTGCTGTGGAAGTGTTAGTTTATCATTAATGATATGCTATACTTTGTTGTATGGTGAGATGATGAATGGACAAGTGATATTTTTAATATTTAACAATTTAATAACAGTAACATTATTTGACTTTGTTGCCCAAGCTTTTTTCTTCTGGTTAATACCTTCCCACCCCATAAAAGTTGAAAGTGAAGTAATTATAATGGAAGTATGTACTTACCCATCAGTCACTACGGGGTGAGGGAGGACTAGCTCTTTATGCCTCACCTCCTAACCGTTTATACCTGACACACTAATTTCCTCACTCACCATTAACATTTTCATCATATTTTTTCTTAAAATTATTATATAATTGCCTTCAATGAGTTCTATTTGCCTAACACCTGTACAGGAAATGAGAACTTCCTTACATCTCTTAACTCATTTGTGTCCAGCTTCTACTAATGTTCCCCCTTTCTAGATCTTTTTAATTTAAATAGACTTCCTTTGTCCACTTTGTTTGTTCCCCTTAGGGAATAACTACTTGTATGTTGTTATCATATCCCCTCTTTTTTTTTCTTCTCCTCTTAAGGTTGTAAGGGCAAGTTCTCTCAATTCTGGTACTAATCAAATTGCAAACCTCTGTACTTGAGTTTCTCCTATGTTTCACAAGGTGTAGGTTCCATGCTGGTGCTGCATACTCAGGTGAAGGTCTTGCATTGGCAGTGTGTAGGGACTTGAAAACCTCCTTGTTTAAATTCTTAAATGACATCCATATATTTGCTAACGTTCCATATGCTGCTGGTGTGACCCTGTTTGCTTGAGCTTCTGATTGGCATTGACATTAAGTCTACTCCTAGATCTCTCTCTCATATTGTTTCTTGCAGTTGCCTTTTATGGTACTGTATGGTTAAATACAAGTTTCCTCTATCTCTTACCAATTGTCATTTCTTTATGCTTGTTTGGATTGAATTCCACCAGCCATTTATTTCTTGTTCTACATGGTTTTTAATGCTTACCATGTCCATACACTGATAACCATCATTTACAGTATACTGTAATTTATTTTTGGGATATTTGTTCTTCCCTGGTTGCAGATTTTAAATCAAATTACTGTTTATTTTTGTTGGGGTGGGGATATTGCATTCTTTATTTTTTATTTTGTTATTTGTTTGTTTTTGTTTGTATTTGTATTTGTTTTTAAAAGATTTTCATATAACTTTGTGCCTCATGAAATATACTGGAATTAGAGACAGACGAAGACTCTTGATCTCCCTAGTTAATATGAACTTTTTCTTTATCCTCAGATATCACAGCTTTATTGTAGATTATAAAAGATTAAATGAGGACAATCCAGATAATTCCAAACTAGAAACCTTGAAACCTCTCTTCAGAAGAGCACTCTACACCATTGGTCTCCTTTTAAAACACTTTGACCTCAAAGATGAAAAAGTCAGATGTGGATTATCGGTAAGGAGTGTAAATAGTGTTCGTATCATTAAGGCATGCTTTCTAGTTTTACCTTATTCTTTTGTTAAATATGACATATAATGATTTGATTAGCATTAGTTTATAGCATTATGGTGGTCAGTCAATTGATACTAACCAGGGCTCTGCCTCTGGACCCCACCAGTTCTTAATGCTCTGTTCAGAACATCTTGATCTTCAGTTCAGAAAAAACTTCATATTTTTCCTTTTTAATTTGTGTGTGCTTTCCAACAGTATACAGAATAGTTGGAGAAGCTTTTTAACTGCATCTAATCTCATTATTTTGTATGAATACATTTTATTGAGTACCAATTACTTGGATTTTCTATCATTAGCACGAGTGTAACTGCTTCTCGATGCAAAGTGTTGAATTTTGTTTTCTTCTCAGTATCAAACACTTGTTTCAGGTATTGTATCAAAGGGTTACTGCCATATCAACTTCGTTTTTACTTATATATTTTTTAATTTGTTCCATCTCTACAATTATTTGGCTTTACGTGCCATGAACCCATATAAATTGCATCAAGCTGCGACATTTAGTAGACTCAAGTTGTGAAACCTGTTCCCTTATTGAGGAATGTATACATCACATACACTCTTCCATGTATTTTAAATGCCTGAAGATTGGACATTTTTTGAAGGTCATGCAAGTGATGATTTCTTGGCCCAAATGAACAAGAATGTGTTGAAAGAATAATGATTCTTTCAGTATGAGCAAAGGTCAATTTAGTTATGTCTTGAAATTTGGTTGACTGCTTATTTCTTGAGATTTGGTCTTTACACAGGATTTCTTTCATTTGTTCTCTTAACATAATGGAGCTCAGTTGTTTAACATCTCTCTGAACTCTGCTTTCCACTTAACGTTTAGAGGGTACAATTATCTCAGCCCAGGAAGACAGCTATGTTCAATTCTTAAAATATTATTACATTTTTTAGACGTTTACAAATGAATTAAGGATATTTAAAAAATAAAAAAATAAAATCATATTCAGTAAATTACTTGAGAAAATATTGAGGCACTGTAATAGGATAGACATTATACACACAGAAATCACAATAGTGTGATATATCACGATACACTGTATATATAATATATATATCCATCCATCCATCCCGGTTATATAATCCCGGTTGCAATTCTTTTACCATGTCGTGGCACAATCGATTAAGACGTGTCTGGGTTCGAACCCTCATCACGGCCCTTGTGAATTTATTCATCTGATGGGATAGAACTTGGACCCCAGGACTATACAGGCACTCGTTACCCTACACACTCACACACACTGACAGCTGACGGCCTGAGAGCTGAGTGGACAGTTCTCGGGATTCGTAGTCCTGAGGTTCCGGTTTCGATCCCCGGTGGAGGCGGAAACAAATGGGCAGAGTTTCTTTTACCCTGATGCACTGTTACCTAGCAGTAAATAGGTACCTGGGAGTTAGACAGCTGCTACGGGCCGCTTCCTGGGGGTGTGTAACAAAAAAGGAAGCCTGGTCGAGGACCGGGCTGCGGGGACACTAAGCCCCGAAATCAACTCAAGCTGACACTACACTACTTACATTTACCTCCTTGGATATATAGAATTTTAAATTAAATTCTGATAATTTGGATAAAGAGTTATACCTTAATTTTGTTTTCTCAAAGTATTTAATGAAATAAAATTTATATGGGAGAATAAGGAAAAATATTATCCACTTTAATATTTTAAATAAATATTTGTTTGGGTGTAATAGTGCCACATGCTCCAAATTTTTCTATCCAGGGATTTTTTAATTACAAGGTTTACTTTTTGTAAATGAAAACTGTCAGATTTCCCTAGAATTACCAAGAAAACTTATTAATTATAGGGAAACCATAACCCAATTTCCTTAAATTTGTATAGTGAAAACATGAACCCCGATTCACTACAGGTGAACCAAATATATCATTGGATATATGTCTTCATCTAAGGGGTTAAAGTGCAGGAAAATGTTGCCATCCATTGGTGAACGTTTTTGGTGGGAAGCACTTCTATCCACTTTGAGGCTGTTTCCATCAAGGTGAACCTAGTGCCTAGGACATTTACCTCACTTTTTTTGTGTGTTTCTGTCAGAACTGCTGGTTTTGGCTTGGATTGGACTTTGTGGGGTGCATGGATTGAACTTTGGCCTTTGTTTATGAGGACAGGCTGCAGGATGGAATGTTTCATTGCACTCGATGCTGCATTTTTCAACATTTTTCATTAATATATTTTTTTAGGCTTCGACCTTCTTGTAACTAAATGTTTAATAAGGATATGATTGATACATTTGAATACACAGCCTCTTTCCTGTTTCCCGGTTGTGTCTACCGTTTTACCTCCATATAACATTTACAATCATATGTCTTATCGTACTCTGATATGCTTACATATTTTCTTTTAATTTACATATACTTTTAAAGTTACAATCTTGGATTACTATGTTTGCATTATACCAGATAAATATTTCATGTTATTTAATAACCAAACCTTATTGAATTCGCATTACAATAGTGTTTAATCTCTTTTAAAATGTAGATACAATACAGTAATTAAAATTCCTAAACTGCATTTATATGTAACAGTCAAATTTTCTAAACTTACAGGATGACATTACTGAACAAGTATTCGAGACGCTTATGTACTTCATGGATTCTCCTGATATGAACCTTCGTTACTACACCTTACAAGCTTTGGGATTTGTCTGCATTCGGCATTATGAATTGATGATGGGGAATCGCTTGAAACAGCTGTATCACGTGTTGTTACTTGAGCCGTCCGTGAGCAGCCGGCTTCGAATACAAACCCTTCAAAATATCGAGACATACCTCCAGGAGGAAGAGGTTCGCATGATCAAGCAAGATCAGGAATGTGAGCAAATTTATTGACTTTATTCATTATGAAATTTGAAGATGCAATTTCGGCAAATTATAATACATGACTATAGTATAGATTCATATTGGGTTTACATTTTTTTAGTTACCTAGCATGCTTAGCATCTTAAGCAAGACTAAGACTAATAAAATTATGAATACCTTGTATTATAGGGTCATGAATTAATAATACAATAGCAACAGTAGTAATTTTGTATTTGTGAGTGAAATAATCATATACAAAATGTAGTTCCATTTATTATATATAATATAATACAAAAATATAGATTAGAGTACAGGTGTTCAACTCTATATGGTATCGTAATGCAGTTCTGTTTTATATCTCATTTGTGAATATCATTTGGGGATTTTCACAAAATTCAGATGTGTGCGAGTTTGTGCTGTTTCTAACTCTACCAGAAAGAGGTGTTTCATTACATTTAACACTGGGGTTTTTATTTCCTCCTTTACTGGTATGATCTGTGTACGTGGATTTATTCTTCTCAAATACAGTTAATTGTGTGCATGCACACCTATAAATAATTATAAAAGCTCATTGTTCATACCTTTTCTTTTTTAACAAAGGGGCTAAGCAGAAAACCAGAGAGAATTTGAAGGAAATGTGTGATGTCCAGTCTGGCATGGCCTCTGCTATCATTCAAGTATACCTTAAACAAGTAAGTTACCCTCTCACTTTTCACCTCACATTATTTCTTTATACGCACACATTACCACTTACTTTTCATGACTAGATAATTGTCCAGTATGGACTGGAACATCATCACTTAGTTTTTTTCATATTTGTGAGTTGGGTGTCGAATCATTTCTTTATTCCCCTTCTCTTCTCTTCTCCCTCCCCTTCTTATTCCACACTCTTTCCCTCCCACTCTGTTACTACTACTACTCCCACTTTTCTTTGCTCCTTCCCTCCCTCACTCTCTTCTGTCTTTTCTTCCTCTTAACACTTTATTTTGTGCTGATCTTTTCATTACTGTGGCAAATATTTTCATAATAATGTTGAAACACTTCAGGAATCAATTTAAATAAGTAATATTATATTGTAGTTAAAAGCTGATTTTGGTAATGAATTATTTCAGGTGCTGGAATGTGTAGTAGCAGGTTGTGTGATTGTTCGACACTCAGCACTGCGCGTCATCCAACTGGTGTTGGCCCAGGGTTTAGTTCACCCCGTCCAGATTGTGCCATACCTTGTGTGTATGTCCACAGATACAGAGGAGGCCATTGCCCATTCTGCAGATATTCAACTTCAAGATATTGAAAAGAAATACCCTGGCTTCATTGGGATGAAGGCTATGCAAGGTTTCAGGCTGTCGTATAGATTACACTCCCTTATTCAAGCAACGCCTCCTACAAGAGGGTTCCGAATCAAGGAAGGGGAACACCCTGGAGCTCTTAATGGTTTTTTATACTCTATCATGCGATCCACAAAACAACATAGAAGAGCAGTAGCATTCTCTTTGTTAAAGCAGTTTGAGGAACAAGCCGTGAGTACCGTTTGTATCAATGTTTAAATCTTTATTAATTATATACTACAAGTTGTCATATCCAGAGATCTTGGGGTGGAGGGTTATTGGATATGGATGTGGCAGAAGGTTTGACTACCTCATTATTGTATTTTTTTTTTTTTTTATTCATACAATGTGACAGGCTTTGATACACTATGTACATTTTAAGCTGTTGAAATTATTTAGTAATGGAAATATCCATTGTTTAATAATATCACCTTGTCCATTTTAATTCCCAGATGGCAATTACTAAGACTAATTTATTTTTTATTTTATCGTTAATTTTATCATTATTCTTGTTTATATCCTCATTCAAATACATGCTTATGCAGCTTTATTAACACTTCAGTGATACCTAATGGTTTTGTCACATATACATTGTGAGCTCATACCATTCAGTTGCTTCCTTGTGATCCTTATGTTCCTATTGGCAGGGATGTGCACAGTTGAAACAAATTAACACTTTACAATAATGCAGTAGGATTAATGCACAAATACAATGAATTTGAATTGTAAAATCACTTTAGGCAAGGTAATATGCATCTATCCTTGACCATGTTAAAATAATCTCTGGCTGAAAGTCAACTCTCATGGTGGTGGGAGACTGAAATAGGGCAGAGTTGTATAGCAGACATCCATTTATATATTTTTATAAATTTCTATAAATTTAGACAATTATATTAAAAAGACTATTGTTCTTTCTTGTAGAATTTAAAATTCAAGTATATAATGAATGATTGGTTTGAACAGATTTAGAACAGATTTTAAATTAAATTATTACTCTCAATATGTAACTAATATATCACATTTTTACCATCTCCACAGAGAACCAACTTAAGTGAACTGCTTTTCATCGCAGACAACTTGGCATATTTTCCTTATCAGGTGCTGGATGAGCCACTTTTCATCATTCATCATATTGATATTATGATTTCTGTCACTGGTTCCAATCTTCTCCAGGCTTTCAGAGAGGTACAGTAATATCTTTGAAGATGAATTTTGTACTTTATAAGGTTCCTTGGTTTTTGTAATGTAAAGAGATGATTTAGTCACCTGTGCATTTCAAACTAACCTGAAATATTTTATATAATAAAAGTAGGTTGTTTAGAATATAAACAAATGGAGTCTAATAGTATTCTTCATTATGTAACGAACAGTTTATAACACACATTAGACTGTCTAGTAGCATGGTTTATGCTACTGTTCGTCTGTAGTGTCCACAAATCTTGCTCTCCATGTTTCATCTCCCTGTGAGGCTCCTTTGTTGACCAATCTATTTCCCTACCTTGAGGTTACCTTGAGGTGCTTCCGGGGCTTAGTGTCCCCGCGGCCCGGTCGTCGACCAGGCCTCCAACCCTGTGGTTAAAATTCCCAAGTATTAGTATCTTTGCTATGAGACAATTTGCCACTGTGGCCATCTTTTGTATTATCTTCAGACATGTTTCTTTGCATTTATCATATTCCTCCCTTGACCTTCCTGTAGTTAATTGAGGATTGTAAATAAGACTTACCACTGTCTTTGTGGTACTCAATATTATCATACCTAGCATAAAATCAGTCTAGTTGATAGCCTCCAGAATCTCTCTCCCCTCAAAGGTTCGATGTTGGTGTATCAGTAAGGCTCTCCCCCCTGTTTATCTTTTCTTGTTACCTGGTACAATATCCTCTTTGGAATATGGAATGTTGTGTTACAAATGGAAAATTTGTATTCATAAATGTCTGTTTAGTATGTTGGGTTAGCTTACCGTAAAGTGACTGTAAATTGGGTTAGTTTACAGTGAATGATTTACACGAGAGAAAGTCTTAAAAACAACATAACAGAATGTCTGACAATTTGAATACAATTGAAAGGACTAATGTAGACTAATCATTCAGTGACTTTATACAAAAAAATTCATGCCCTCATCAGTCTTAATCAATTATATTCATCAGTTTTGTCTTAAATTGCAATGATATGAGGATGCAGTTCTACCAAGTATCTGTTTACAGCTAGGAGAACTGAGGCATCAGCTCATGGGTCAGGATTGTTGAGGCACCACTGAACCCTTGCTAGGCTTAAGTTTTCCTCAACATTTTTGTGGAGCAATTGTGGTAGACATGAGTGTGTGCTGGAAGTGGGTGTGGGAGGCATGAGTGTTTGCCGAGAGAGGTTGTGGAGGGCTGATTGAGTGTTGGAAATGCTAGAGTTAGTGATCTCGTGTGTGTGTAAAAACAAGAAGTTGGTATTTGCTGGAGCATGGTACCCAGCTACACTTGTCTCGTTGCTGGTTACTGGTTGCCAAAATTAATTCGAATAGGATGTATAAAAAAATCAAGGATTATTGGTGCATATGAAACAAAAGCATAGGTGGGTACTGCATATTATGGGGCATCTACTATCCACCACTTCATACTGTGGGGAGGGGAAGAAGTTGAGAATGGAGATCCATTGGTTGCTTTTTATTGTTTTCAAATCAGTCAAGCGATTGGGTGATTAGTCGGTTGGTCCTGTCCTGTATAACTTCAGTTCTGCTTGCCTCTAATTTTCTTTTACCAATGTTACTCTTTTACTGATATTATGCAGCACTGTATATTATTTTATGCTTCTAATTATTATATATTGCAATACTTCAGGCTCTCCTGCCACCTACTAATGCAGAAGTCAAAATAAATCCTGAGACTGGCCAGCCTGAGTATGTGGATGACCTGGATGATGAAGAGGATGTGGAGGTATACATGTCACGCCTTCCACCAAGTTTGACCCCTCTAGTGGACTGTATCAATGCTTCTCAGGGTTGTCTACTCTTGCTCATGTTGAAAGACTACTTGAAGGAGATATATGGAATAACTGATGGGTGAGTTATTGGAGTTTATTGTTTAATTTTACTGACAATCAATTTTCCATTTTAGATAGCATAACACCTGTTTCATTATGCAGTTTATCTAAAGGGAGCTGGTCGGCCGAGCGGACAGCACGCGGGACTTGTGATCCTGTGGTCCTGGGTTCGATCCCAGGCGCCGGCGAGAAACATTGGGCAGTTTCTTTCACCCTATGCCCCTGTTACCTAGCAGTAAAATAGGGACCTGGGTGTTAGTCAGCTGTCACGGGCTGCTTCCTGAGGGGTGGAGGCCTGGTCGAGGACCGGGCCGCGGGGACACTAAAGCCCCGAAATCATCTCAAGATAACCTCAAGATAATCACTAAATATAAATTAATATATAGTATCTAAAATTAAGAGAATGAAAATTTCACAAATGTTGTTGCTTAATGATACGCCTAACAACACATTGAGATGACGATACCTTTTCTTTGATGCATTATCATATATAAAGTACTAGACATTATCTACCTTTGTATTATACTTTTTTTTTTTGTATAATTACCTAAGTGTAGCTACAGAATGATCACTATGCTCATAGTGTCACATCTTCTCAGCACTCTTTGTCATATGCTTTGAAACTACTGATGGTATTGGCCTCTACAGCCTTCTCATTTAAAACTTGTTCCAACCATCTACTACTCTGTTTTCAAAAGAGAATTTTCTAATATTTTTCTAGCACCTTTGTTTCCTTAGCTTGAATCTAAGACCTCTTGTTCTTGGAAGTTACAGGTTTCAAAAATTCCTCTTTGTTGTTTTGTTGATTCCTGTTACTATTTTTCTTCTATCTTCTATCTATCTATCTATCTATCTATCTATCTTTTTCTTCTATACCTTTGGCATATCACACCTATAACTTCTTGTAGTTCTTGTTTTTTTAGTTCCAGATGGCACTTCATAGCATGTCTTTGCATCTTTGCCAGTTTATTAATGTGCTTCTTGAGATATTGGGTACTATACAACTGCTGCATATTCCAATTTTGGTGCAATTTGGTGCACATTACTGGTGCAAGAACTGAACCCTGTGGTACTCTACTAGTAACACTCCTCCAGTCAGATACATTGTTTCTGATTACTGCCTTCATCTGTCTGTCAGAACGTTTTTCATCCATGTCAGAAGTCGATTTGTGTGTGTGTGTGTGTGTGCCTGTGTGTGCTAGAGTACACATAATAGAGGAAAAATAGATTGGCTAGAAAGGTGGGGTCCAAGAGCTATTAACACGATTCTGCAAGCACAAATAGTAAATACCTATAAAAATACTTATACAGATCCAGTGACACTTGGAAGTGTCTGGACAGGGCCATCGTTCTTTCCTGAATGGATGGTAAAGGTGTGGAACAACACATGCACCTCCAAATTGGCCCCATGTTTAATCCCATACACACATTTTTAGTTTTTATTTAATATTTTTTATTTATATATTTAGTTATTTTTATAATGATTTTTTTGACACTGTGTTACTATAATGTTGAGAGAATACCAGGTTCCTGGCATAAGGGACTGGGGCTACCTTCTGTAGATCAATCAGCAGCAGCAGCCAAAAAATATTTTGTTGCCACGTAGAATCATGTATATCTAAAATGGTGTTTTCTTTCCACAGAAAAATTACTCAGTACTCCCCTTCTGATACTTCCAAACAGTATGAAAAGGGTACATCTAGAAAAAGTTCAGCGAAGTTCAACCCCAAGCCAATCCTAAAGCGGTTAAAAGAGGAGCCAGACCAGGAATCAGATTCTAAAGATGATCCTAGACCAAAGATTGACCTCATTAACCAATACCTCAATGTAAGTGATACATGTTTTAAGCCTTTCATTGCTAACTTTTTATATAATTAACCTGTTATCTTAATGATATCACAAAAATGCTATTTTCAAGCAGCTTTCATGCTGAAAAAGTCTTTGGAACAGAACAACAGGATCGAACCAGTATCCTGAGTCACCCCAGATTAACACTGTAGCCATGGTTCACTACATGCAAAAGGTAACACAGCCTCGAGTCTGCCTGTACCCACTTAGAATTTGGGTCACCGAGCTTGTAGCTAATCCAAGTTATACATGCAACCCGTATTCACCCTGGTGTAGGAAATGGAGTTCTCCACCAAGTGCTCCCATCAAATACACAATGCAATCACAATAACATGTAATATACGGGAGCATTTGATCGAGAACTCCATTATCTGCACCAGAATGTAAGTGGGTTACATGTAAAACTTTGATTGCCAGCTCAGTAATGCCAGATTCCAAGTAGGTCTGGGTGGATACCAGGTTGTGCAGCCCGTAGCATATAGTAGTCCATGGGTACAGCATGTGTCTGGGGTAGTCCAGAACACTGGTTCGATCCTGCCATCCTACTTCAATCATTTTCTTGTAGATATATGATAATATTGTTATTTCATTGTATTTTTTATGTCAAACATTTCATAATGGATTAAAATGGAATGATGCTGGGTGACATGTTATGGAAGATGTACAAATCTTTAAAGTTTAGATAGGTTAGAAATGTGGAAAGTAAATTGAATATGTTCAGCATTGCAGAAATAAAGAGAAGTGATGGCATGATAAAGATGTGAGAAATATATATATCAAATATTATATTATCATTACCTCATTTTCCACTTTACTGTGATGTGAAGATATCATCGAGAAGAAGAATCAGGAACGGTATTTTGAAAAAAGATTATAGATATGAAAAAGATATAACTTTTTATATTATCTTTTAAACTCTTATAAGTTTTAAGTGAAAAAAGGTTATAGATTTTTATAAGATATAAAAAGATATATAATATAAAATGATATATTAACACAGTCCCTGCATCCTCACACTTGGTCCTTGCTTCCTCCAACCCCACTGCGTCTACTAATCTTACCAGCCTTTTATTTTCTCTCCTATACTCAAATTTAATCATACACTCTTCAGTCAACCATCATTCCTTCATTCAGTATACACACACTGGCAGTGTGTGCATACTATGAAGAGCACACACTGGCAGTGTGTGCTCTTCAGTCTAAGTGTTTACTATACTTTTGCTCTTATATTTGATCTTTATTCTTTTAAATATTCTCCTAACTCCACACATACTTCTTAGTGTAAATTTAAACTATGTAATTCCTGATAATTTAAATTTACATCACGCCAAATTCTTGTCTCCATACATAAGGGTATGGAGGTGTCTGTCACTCTGTCACTGTCACTCATTCCTTCATGCAATTTTCTGGCTACATTTCTTGTCTCATTTTTGTAACCGTCTTCTTCTTTCCATTGGCCCGTCCTACAACTTCGATTGCACAAACTTCTATTTTTATCTGTCAAGTCTTTCCAGCTACATTTTGTCTACATTTACTTATAAGTCTAATTTTACACACCAATGAAATATTCAACTAGTCTATAGGTTTTTTTCTGGGGGGAGCCCCGTCGGCTCCCCGGAGCTTTACCGGCTGATATGCTAATGTCAGACTTTGGCATCAGTCATGTGTATGGAGTTCTAGGGCCTACCGGGGACCACGAGCCAGAACCTGGCCCCCTCAGAGAGGCAAGGGGAGCAATGGCCTATAGAAACCCCCGTGTGGTTGGAAGCATTCTATGTCTGCCATCGACCGGGTCAAGCATCCAGAAAGGTAAGCATTCCAAAACAAACCCCTATTCTGGTGAAAATTGCTACCTAAGCCGAACTAGTGAATAGAACTCTTCAACAGAAAACACGGAAACTAGTATGACGTCATACGTCACCGCGCCGCTGTCTGCGCAGCTCCCCCCTCCCCGGGAGGGGGAAGGGGGAGCCCCAGACCTCCCACGCCGGCTATCCACCCATCAGTTCTTCGGCTGATGCTATAGGCAATGGTTATGTGCTCCGGCTCCAGTGGTTGTTTCAGCACTGTACCTAGAGTGTGGTGTCTGTTTTCTAGGTGGTGCGTGAGCCGGGTGTGATTCTTCAGTACTCGGGCTGCATGCGCCTAGGGTTCCCTTCCCTAGGTGCCCTGTAAGTACTGCCCTTGGGGCTTGGGGCCACCTTCCACAAGTTCCTTGGGTCCTGCCCCTGCTTGGCCGTTTACCGCTTGGTTTTCGGCCGCTCTTTGTGTGCTCGGGTGTTCTGTCTCCCTTGTTCGCCTTAGAGTAAGGGGCAGTGTTTGCACTGGTGGGGCGCGGGGTACTGTGCAGCTTGTCTTTACCAATCATAGCGGCCGGCTCTGTTCCGCTTGGGTACGCTGTCCTCTTGCGGGGTTTTTCTTTTTCTTTTGTTTATATACCTGGTGGGGGGGTCTGCCTTCGTTCTTGCCCCTTGTGTCCCTTGTGTTCTGAGTATTTCTGGTGGTACCCCCTGCTAGGTCCCCGTGAGTGTACACGTCCCGGGGGTTCAGCTCTTAGAAAGTTGTTTGGTAGCTTGGGTGCCGGTTAGCAGTACCCTGCCTGGGATTACCTGAGCGCGAGTCCTCTTAAAGTAAACGCTCGGGACCCTGGGAAACCCCTGGGGGCGCGCGGGTCCGATGGATGTGACCCCAGAGCCCCCCCCTCGCTTCCAGCGAGTTTGAGGGTTGCTCTCACCTTTTGTCTCTGGGTGACTCTCTGTTTTGCCTCCGTCTGCTGCCTGTGGGGTCGGTGACACCTTCGACCCGGTGTCCTGCGAGTTTGGTTGCTCGTTGTGGCTCGGTTACCCAGTTGTGCTAACAAAGCGGGTGCGGGCAGCAGGGGCGTTGCACTTGAGCCTTGGTGGTGGCAACGTTCTCGTGGTTTCCTCCCCGGGAGCCCCGGGGCTGCCCCGTTGTATTTCGTTTTGGGACTTGGGGGTGTTGGTTGCTTCGGTTCCATCCACGCCCCCTTGTCTTTCCCCTGGTTCACCCTTCCTGCCTGTATCCGGTTCCTTACCGTCTGTAGGTTCAGGGCGGGGTGTTTGGTGGTGTTGAGACTCGGGCAGTCTCGGGGAATTCCCCTTCCGGGGTAGTGACGGGGGCATTTGGGCCTGTTCCTCCAGCCGTGTTGTATGAGTCTGCCAGTGGGCTCCCTTCCTTAGTGTTTTCACGGCTGCCCCGGTTTTCTGGTACGGCCGGGGCTTTGGGGGAACGGCTCGGCCCCGGGGCCTGTCGTGTAGGTTCCCGGGGCTGGGGAGGGGCTGACTTGGGGGGGCCTTGGCCCCGTTAGACCCCGTGGGGGGTTTTATCCCCCTCTCGGCGGGGCTTGTGGTTACGCGGAGTGGGGTCTTTCCTCCCCACTCGCCGTACGTGCTGTTGGACGTCGGCCCCTCCCCGGGCTCGGTTCCTTGGCCTTTGAGTCGGTTGGTTCCGTCCTGTGGGTGGATGTTTCCTCCCCCGCTTTTTGGGACGGTGTTTTTGTCATGTTTCTCCGTTCGATGGGGTTCTGCGTGACTTTTGATCTCGGGTGCGCCTGCGCCTTCGTGTGCCTTCGGGACTAGTGTTGGCTTCTGTGTTCTCGAGGGTACGGGAAGGTTTTTCGCTACTTCCCGCATTATTGGAACGTCTGTCGGCTCCTAGTACTTGTCGCCCTGTTGGGCTACTTGTCGCCCTGTTGGGCTACTTGTCGCCCTGTTGGGCTACTTGTCGCCCTGTTGGGCTACTTGTCGCCCTGTTGGGCTACTTGTCGCCCTGTTGGGCTACTTGTCGCCCGGTTGGGCTACTTGTCGCCCGTTTGGGTTCCCTTTTTTTGGGCTCTTTGCTTCTTTGGCCGGTTTTATTGTTCCTGCTTCCTCTTTTGGCTCTTTTTCTCGTGCAATAGTCCTGGCTGGCGCCTTCCCGCAGGGAGGGTGTGCGGTTCGGCCAGCGTGTTATGCGCATGCGCCGTGGAGTTTGTTTTGGTCTGGGCGATGGTTCAGTGCTGGGGTTTTGCGCCCTTTTTTGCTACAGTGCTTCGCCTCTCGTTCTTCTCCCTGGCTGCGGTATGTGCCCCTTTGCGCCAGGGGTGTCCTGGTTCCCAGTTGTGGGGAGGACACCGCGGTTTTCTGTGTCATGGGTGTGGACCGCCTCCTTCGCCTCTCCCTGTTCTCCTGCGGGTCCGGCTCTGGCGTCTTCACCTGGCGGTGCTCCCAAGTTCTTCTGGGCACGTTTGAGTCGTGTCAAGTTCGAGCCACCATTCGCCAGGTGAGTTTCTGCGGTCTGGCGTCTTTGGGCCGGGCGCTGGATGCGGCGGTGTTCATATACCTGTCTTTATTTAGGTATAATTTTGTACGACTGAGACCGTTCGCACACCAGTGACTGTCCCTTTATCACCCCTTCCTGTCCCCCTCCTGTGCATGTCCAACCCATGCTGGAGTCGTTCAGGGGACCCTCCTTTTTTAATGTTGTGAGGTGTGGGGGTTGTAGGGTTGGTTCTGTACTCACCTGGTGAGGCTCCTGGCTGTGCTTGCAGGATTTGAGCTCTGGCTCTTGGGTCCCGCCTATCTGGTAGAACTTGCGGGATAGTACCAGTGGAGTGCAGTGGTGCTATTGGCACTTTTGGGGAACACTGTATTACCTTCAGTGGTCTGTGCTTGTTACACGACCTACTTGCGAGCATAAGCCTTCTTGCTGGTTCGTCCGTGGACTTCCAGGGCGCACTGGCCTGTTTTCGTATGGCAGTTCCGGCCCGTCCTGGTTGTGGGGGTATGTGGGCCGGTGGACTGCTCCTAGCAGCTGCCTGGTGGGCCATCCTCTGGCCGGTCTGGCCTGACCTTGGGCCGGGCTTGAGGTGTAAAAGAGCTCCCAGTACCTCATCCAGCAGGTATCGAGCGGGGTTTCTCCGCCGTCGGTCGCCTGGTGCAGGTTTCTGGGCCTGCAGGGTTTTGTCGTGTCTCCGTTGGCCCTGTCTGGGGTCTGCCTGCTCCGTTCTCTGCCTTTGCAGAGGGGAGTTGCTATTTACATGTTGCATGTTGCAGTGGTGCCTGTTGCTGCTGCTGCTGCACGTGAGCATTGGTACCGTGTTTCACGGTGGCGTGTCCTTGTTCCTGTGTCCGGTTGTGGAGTGGCGCTTTGCTGCCGTTTTGTGCCTGGGGATTGCGTGGGGTTTTTGTCCCTGCCTGATTGTCCACCCCTGGTTGTTCTGGTTTTTTTTTTTTTTTTTGTGCTTCTGCTCTTTCTTCCTGCCTCTTCTGCAGCAGGAATGTTCTGCGTGTGTTCTTAGGCGTTGGTCAGCCTGTGTCCTGTGATGTGCTTCTTTGTCTCGGTCTGTTGCAGTTGTTCGTGCCCCTTGGTTCGGGTCCTGTTCTGGCGGCGACCCTTCCGCCTTCTTTGGTTTTCCTAGCTTGCCCTGCCGGTTGTTGTTGTTTTATTTTTTGGGGGGGGTTCTTGCGATGTCTCGCGTCGGACCCGTCGTTTCTGAACTCCTGGCGGGCTTGCATGCTTCGGAGTTTTTCTGTTCGGCAGACGTTCCATCTCCTTGTGCCGCCTGGGTTTCGGTGGTCGCGCCCGAGATCTTCTCGCGGCTCCGCCTTTTTCCTGGGCTCGGGGGGGCCTTGTCGGGGCTGCTTATGTTCTGCCTCGTGGTCTCGCCTCCGGTTGGTGGTCGGGTGGCTTCGTGGTAGGTGTCCCACCTGCGTGCTTTCTTGGCGGCAGTATGGGGTATTTTGGCGGTCCTTCCTTTTCCTGTCCCTTCTTCGGTAGGTCCTTCTTGTTGGCTTGGTTTACTCTCGGCTTGGTTTTCTAGTGGGGGTTGGGGGCCGTCGTCTTGCCACATACTGTCGCCTCTTTTCGTGCGGCGCAGGCGGAGCCGCTTCAGCTTGCTTTCGGTCTTGGTGTTGCTTCTGCACCGTTAGTCAGCTGTCTTGTGCGTCATTTCACCTCCGGCCTGTTCGTGCGCCGCTTGCACCATCCTGGTCTCTGGTCAGCGTGCTCTGTCTTCTCCTCGGTTGGTAGTGCCCCTTTGGTTCCGGTGTGTTTTTTTGTCGGCTCTTTCCTTTGGGCCTTTGCCTCTGGGGGTCGGTTCGCTGTGTTTTCTTGCTCCTTCGGTTTTAGCGTTTTGGTTGTTTGATGGCAGCAGTCTCCATCTTTTCTGGCGCGGGGTGGGGCTGCTGCATTCTGGAGGGGTCCAGGGTTTGTTGGTGCTTTGTTGGTCGGGCCGGGGGTGTGTCGTTTTTGTGTTCAGTGGCGGCCCTCTGCTGTTGTTTGCGTGCCACGGCGTTTGGGTCCGGAGCGCGTTTTGCGTTGATCCGGTTCTGTTCTTCCCGGTTCGCGGGTGATGGTGTCCCGGGTGGTCAGCCGTGTTCTTGCGGCTAAGCTGCCTGTGTTCTTCCCTCATGCCTGTGGCGTTCGTGGCTTCGCTGCTCTCGCTGCCGTCTGGGCGACGTGGCCTTGCAGTCTTTCGGGCATGGATTTTTGGTGTTCGTGCAGGGGCCTTGCTGCTCGTGGTTCTCGTGTTGTTCCCGGGATTTTCGGGGCTGTGGCGCCTTGGGTTGGCGTTTGCTGCCGGTTGTCTCGCCTCCTTGGGGGGTGCGTGGTGTCCGCCTCCCGGTTTTGTCCCTTTGACCTTCCTCTGTGGGTAGTTAGCTCCGGGGAGCCGACGGGGCTCCCCCCAGAAAACCAGCGTTGAATGTAATGAAACGCCATTTTCTGGGTGAGACCCGGAGGCTCCCCGGCAACCCTCCCTCCCTCCGGTCGGCGTTTTTCGCGTGTTTTGACATCCAGCCTCAGAACTGATGGGTGGATAGCCGGCGTGGGAGGTCTGGGGCTCCCCCTTCCCCCTCCCGGGGAGGGGGGAGCTGCGCAGACAGCGGCGCGGTGACGTATGACGTCATACTAGTTTCCGTGTTTTCTGTTGAAGAGTTCTATTCACTAGTTCGGCTTAGGTAGCAATTTTCACCAGAATAGGGGTTTGTTTTGGAATGCTTACCTTTCTGGATGCTTGACCCGGTCGATGGCAGACATAGAATGCTTCCAACCACACGGGGGTTTCTATAGGCCATTGCTCCCCTTGCCTCTCTGAGGGGGCCAGGTTCTGGCTCGTGGTCCCCGGTAGGCCCTAGAACTCCATACACATGACTGATGCCAAAGTCTGACATTAGCATATCAGCCGGTAAAGCTCCGGGGAGCCTCCGGGTCTCACCCAGAAAATGGCGTTTCATTACATTCAACGCTGGTTTTTTATATACTGCAAGAAATGGTGGTGAATCAGAAGTTTTTAGGATACTATAATGGAATAGATGCAGTTTTACAGTGATGTAATTGACGTCAAAATCCGTATTATTGAAGTGTAGAACTAAGTCTGTAGAATATAGCAGGAATATATAGACGTAATGATTGGAAAAAAGATTGTGTGTGAAAGTAGAAAAACGGATTGAGATTTAACTTTCACAGACGAGAATTAGTTTGGTATTCTCAATAGTTTTGGGGGGACCTTCTGACAGCTTTCTCTATTTCTTGAGAATGCTTGTTAATTAATAAGAATGTACGGATGTTAATTAAATAGAGTAATATAATCCATAGAAACTTGTTTTAATATTTTTCTTTCTTCTATATATATGGGTGTGATACCTAATTTATTTTATATGTGGAGGAGCAGTGGGGATAAGTTTTCAGAATGTTGTTACTGTATATTGTTTACATTATGAGATGTACCAAACACAGGGACTTGGGATACTTCCCTTGATGAGCTGTGATCAAAATATGCCTAGTTAATTTTATTTTTCTTAGCGTGGGTTTATGATATGCGGTATATGTTTTGAAGTACTGCATCTATAAGTTTTAAAGGACTCGATTAGTTCATTTTCATTGCATTTAGTTTGTAATTTAATTAGTGGGTAGATCTATAAAAATAATAGCTGTTGAAACTTTATATGGCCTTTTCTCCCACAGTTTAAAGCACTCATGTTGAAGATTGATCCGGACGATGATGATGACTCGGATATAGACCTACCCAAAAAATCATTCCAGAATGATATCTCTGTTCCCAATACAAGAACTTTAAGAGGGAGTCAGGTAAGTTCAGCTAGCATATTCCATTTGTATATATGTAGTTGTTTATAAATTTGTCTTACCCTCATTAATCAAACTTTTATTTTAGTTTTATACAAGATGTGTTTTTATTTATTATTTTTTCATAAGTGGCATAATTTTTAATGAGGGTACCTTCAGAAAGGATTTTGGCATCAAATAATACACATTTTCATGGTTAAATTGGAAATGGGTTGAATTTTGCCACGTATAATAGTGAAAACCACCACATTTTGTACACATAATTTATCAGTGATGTATTACAATCTAAGTTTCATGAAGTTTAAAATCATTTGTGGCTTAATATTTACATAATCTCTATCTAAATTTAATACAAATTAATAATGCAGATTTATTTGCAAAATAGAATCCCAGGATCAGTGCTTAATATGATGAGTATAGTACCTGTACTACAAAAATTACCAAGTATTGTCCTTCAGTTCAACCTTTTGTTGACAAGAATGAATCTTACATTTTTGTCAAAATCCTTTTTCATTGCTTAAGTGGATGTGGCATCTTGCAAAATCTTCCTGTTAAGTGGTCAAGTTCAGTGAAGAGAGCATTTACAATTAATAAGTTATAAGCCAAAAGTTATGTAATGATGGAATTAGTAAAAATACAGTGCAAGAAGCCATATTTTGTAATTGCATTAGTCATATAGAGGTTGGATACATATACCAAGGCCACCTTGCCCATAGTCATCATGACAGGTACGACATCCAGAATGAATGTTACACATTTCCAGTGTCTGGTGCATTTAATTTGTTCTAATACTTTATATAATTATAATATTAGCTCATTTTTTATTTATATATATGCTAATTTGCACATCACCTTGTGCCAGTTTCATATACATTTTAGGTCAAAAAATTATTATTTCTGTTTCGGAACTTTTCACTTTTAATTGCCATGAGTTAGTGAAGTTATCTATTAAGCATGATATAATGAAGCAAAAGCATGATTAATGAGGTTGTCTTATATATACTGTACTGCAACTGCTTAAAGGCATTTATATGTATGTAAACAATATGCACATGCATGTATGCATATGAAAAACACTCATCAACTACATAACAGATTGAAATATAGATATGACAAAACTAATGAATCGGGAGTTAATGCATTTGACACGCAAAGTGCCATCCGATATGCTACCCACATCACCAACTCTGGCCAAAATTCTTTTATTTTTATCAGAATCCTGGTCACAAAATCGTGAACATGAATCACTTTTCACACATTCATTTTCGAAAGGACCATGCAGTCCTGTTGCATGATGTATAGAGGCACCAACAGTGGCTGTGTGCCTGGCTGGCTGCCTTGCTTTGGGAACATCCTCACCGGTATCAGGTTTACTGATACTGAACCTTGTACATAGATTCTTTTTATCCCATAGTGTAATTTTTATCACTTCTGATCATTGATAATAAATTGCAAATACTTATTTATTTCATCGTTAAATAATGTTGTGGGCACGAATTGCATGGCAATGCAGATAGTGGCCAAAATCAACCTTGGTTGACATGTGCACCATTGATGAAATGACCCTGGTTGATATGCACAGTTGAAGGATTAACAAAATGTATTCTTGAGCCTAGAAATATGACTAATTTTAGGCTGAATTATTTAATATTCTCCAATTTTAAGACAGAAAAAAGATGATATAATTGAATAAATGTTTATAATATTATACAAGAAAGCCAAGAAGACATGTAGAAAAGTAAAGTAGAAAACATCATCATAGCCTCTCTTTTTTCATTTTAATGAGGTGGAAAGTATGGGAGCAAACATAAGACATTGCAGCCAATGAGACACAATAACGTGGCTAAAGTATGTTGACCAGACCACACACTTGAAGGTTAAGGGACGACGACGTTTCGGTCCGTCCTGGACCATTCTCAAGTCGATTGTGACTTGATGGTCCAGGACGGACCGAAACGTCGTCGTCCCTTAACCTTCTAGTGTGTGGTCTGGTCAACAAACATAAGACATTCACTATGTTTTGCGAAGAAATCAGCACTGGCAGAGTTGTGTTTCATTACACTCCAGCAAAACATCCATAACAAGTGACAGTATTTATAAATTAGTATATACTGTATTATTAAATTGACCCGCAGCATTTTGTCACCAAGTAAGAAATGGTTGGACTAAATAGGTTGTTGTGTGCTAAAACCACTGAGATTTGTCACAGACAAATCTGTATATATACATATACATTCACATACTGTGATAAATACTTTTAATTTACTTTGCAGGCATGTATTAATAACAGCTTTGTTAATCATTGATATTTTTTATTCTTTTACAAAGATATACTGACAGCAGCCACTTGAATATCTAGCACTTTTTAGTATATTGAATATACTAGTTGAAGTTCAGTGGCCAGTGCATTCTTTTATGTTGAGCTGTCCTAAATATCCTCACATTTATAAGTGCTTTACAGTCTTATATTTCCTCAAGCTTAGTTTGTACAGAAAATCATTTTTTGTTTGAATTAATTTGTAGGTTCCATTATACCTTGCAGTATACCTTACTGCAATCTCTATTAAAGCACTAATGACATCTTACTCTTTGACAAAAGTAATTTTCTGCAAAAAAAAAAAAATACAATTTCAATTCCTGCTTCTAGAATTACATTTTTCCAGCACATACATTGTGCTTAGCTCAAATTTATTTAAAAGTTTTGTTTGCAAGTTTACTTGTAATAATTGTGAGCCAATATCCAATTGTCACAATTAATGTAATATTGTTTTCTAGACATGAAATATTGTACCGGGGTAATTACATTACTTTATTAATATTTCATTGTTGTTGAGCTATATTATATAAACTCTGATCTTTTGATTTAGGAGTGTGTGTGTGTGTCAAAAATGGATTATTCAGTTCATAGTTTTACCTTTGTAAAGAATTACATTTAAATGCATTGAAGCCTATCATACTTGTATGCTAGGTAATATGCATGTAATTGGGTGTATGTAATCAGTATATTTTTACTGAATACAGGAAATTTAACTTTTCATAATATATATATTGCAATTGGAATTTATTTTACCTTTGCTTAAAAGCCTTGGCAATTTTTGTTCTTAAAGTTCTTTTGGACTGAAAAAAAAAATGGCTTCTGATCTTAGCTTAAACAATATAAATGAAGGTTTAATCGAACAAATAATTTAGCAAGGTTTTACTCCACCTTTGCACCATTTGTGATGTGAATTCTTAAGCAAGACACCCATCCATCATCTGACTGCTTGGTTTCAGTGTTATAACTTCAGTAAGGGACAATCAAAATGACTATCATAACATGAGCTAAACACACGATGCTTTCCTACATATGAAGAGTATATGGAATAAATTTATTTTCAAGCAGCGTGCATTGACCCTTATTCCCTGCAGCATTTAATCTGTATATGTGTGAGATCATTGATTTTGCTTTTTGATAGCCCCTTCAATGAAGATCTTTGGTCTGTATTTTATGGCTTGAAATCCTAATAATGTCAGCATTGATATAATATGCATGGCATTTTTGGTACATCTTTTAATAAATTTAATTGTGAATTGTTAACTATAATAGAAAATAAAAGGTTTTAAAATACAGACAAGCCAGCATTCTGAAACCTCTTCCCTAAAACCCCATAATAAAAGAGAAGATATCCAAGTAACAGTAACTGTCTTGTCCACAATATGTTGGTTTTAGGTGAAAGGTTAAGAATGGTGAATGTAATGCTTGGTGGCGGGGCAACTGCTTGTTGTTGGTCACTGACGTAAGTTCTACCCACAGAATGCTAGTGATGTTCCATTGCTGCCTGGCACTCACGACGGATGGAAGGTGAGGTTCGGTGTGTTTTTAGGGCTTGTTTTATAAATCATCGGCATTGGTGAACAATTCCTCCAGCATCCTTCCTAGTGCTCTCCTACATGTACTGTTATTGTCTTGTTTGTATGCTCTTGTGCTAACTGGATCAGCTTAATTTGTATGTCTAATAATAAATTCTTCTTCTAACGTGTCTTTTCAATGTTAGAGAAAGTTTCTTTCAGATTTAGAATATGCTGTTATTCTCAGTCCATGTTAAGTAAATTTAAAATTTTAATATCAAATGGTAATAGTTTCTGAATTGGCCAATTGAAACTTTACTTTTTTGTTTTGTATATTTGTTGTTGAAAATTTTTTGATTATAAATATTTCACTTAAAAATTAAAGTATCATTTTCTGGTGAATAAGGATTCATTTTAGTTTTGTTTCATTATATTATTTTTCAAGTCTGAATCATTTGTAATTTTTATTCTTTTTTCACTGGGAAATTTATTAAGGACTTTTGTCATTTACACTGTTTCTGCATTATTGAATATTCATAGAATTATAATTCATTTGTTAAAATTTACTTATCTACAGGATCAACCAAAGGGTACAGCAGAAATGACTCCCGAGGTACTCGGCACAGTTGGCAACGCTGTGATTGAAACAAAAACTGAAGAACAATTACCTCCCCGGCGTTCTCCTATTAAACCTATCACCATACGTACATCACAGGTGACGCACAGTAGAGAACACCGCTCTCACCATCATCACCATCGTTCCTCGCATAGATCTTCCAGCCATAAAAAACACAAGAAAAAGAAGAAACGGAGGAGAAATAGTGATTCAGAGGACGATGATAGTGAATATAGTGACCCTGATTTTCTTGTATAGTAGTTATTGGTGCATTACTACAATTGGCTGGATAGCCTATGCTGGACAAGGACCACATAACAAAATTCACGGTGCACTGAACACACTGCATACTATTAAGGCATACATGTGTGGATGCATTGATTTGAAAAGTGGATAAAACAGTATATAGTGATGCTAAAGTGACCTTTATATTAAAGAAAGATTTTGATTTAGAGTACACATAGTAAAAAAAATATTTTTATTCCAAGCAATACATTAGATAAGGATGTTATTTTGCACCGACGATTGCATTGACTCGAAGCCCTGAATTGCAATACCTCTGGTGGGACAAGAAGGCAACCTAAATGCTGTGAACGTGAAATAGTTATTCAAGTACTGGAACTAAGTACTACTTGCTAATTATGCCTTTAGATTAGTAGGATAAAGTCCCCAAGTACAATTAGTTTTGTACAAGACTATGAACATACTAAAGCTTCTTTACACTGAGGAAAATTTCCATGAGATGGTAATGAGCCAGTGAGAATGTATTTATTATTTATTGTACAGTAAAGTTTGAACACTTAATACTTTATTATTTATTGAAAAAATTGGCCCCCGCATTGGTAAACTTTTGAGCAAGAGAGCACTGGTTGTGAGGGTTTAGGGATAGTGAAGTGTATACGTACTCACAAAGCTGAATGTGGAGGCTGTATTGAATATTTTTCTTATATATAAATATATATATCTATATATATATCTTAGAATTTTTCTAAATGAAAGGAGTGCGAGTTGTATTTACCATCATATAAATTTTCAATGAATTTAATTTTTGCCAGTGCAATTTTGTATGACATTGAAGGACCAGATGACTGACCTGTTATTTTAATTTCATCCTTCTATTGTCTTAATTCATGCACAAATGTTCAATATTTGAACTGCTGGACTTATGCAATGTTTTATACAATTGACCAAACCTGGGAAGTTTATATTGTTTATTTGCCTTTGTGATATCAACTCCTCTTATACACAGTTTCCTGCCAAATACTTGTGTGAATACAACCATGAAAGACTGCCATATAAAAGCACATTTTGTAAAATAAGTCCAAAAGGAGTCAGATTGACATTTTTGTGAATATAGTGACCACTAATTGCATAAGTATGTGTTCCATAATACTTGTCTATTTTTACCTGAATGTAATGATGTCACATCTCAAGAAAGTAGTTTAGAGAGTAGGAAGAAGTGTAGAAGTGGTCTGTATATTGGCAACCCACAAGTGAAATCATTTTTTATTGGATAAAAAAGTACATAATTGTATGTATACTTGTGAATAGCAAAGTCTCCCCCTATGCGGTTTCAGCAAAGACAAGAAGTTTCTCCTCATTACTTATTTTTTATAGATAACTGGCAAAGTCTGAGCTGTTTTCATTTTTATACCATGCAGTATATGAAAAATTTTGATTGCCTTTTATGACATTCTTCTACAGATTAAGCAGCACAGACTTATGCCCTATGTTTTTGTAGTAGTTTCCTTATTGTCCATTCTTGATTCATGATCCAAACCAGCATTGTTTATCTCATCACACAGAGTGGAGGGTAGAGAGGGGCCTCTCCCTTCCCCCACCAGTCAGTCCCAGAGTTATCACAAACATAACCAGTCACATAAGCCAAATCCAGTAGTAGATCACAAACATACCTACCCAACAGCACAAAAGCCCACTCGAGTGGGCACCCACATATCAAACTCTTCCCATGCACCAAGGCATTCATTATTTATGACAAAGTTTACTTGAGCTCTTATGCCAGTACAGTGATATTTGAAATTGCCGTATTTATATCATTGTTTGTACTTTAATAAACTATGAATACTGTATAAATTTCTTGTCATGTGCTGCATAATACAAATAGTGACCTGAGTCTTAAGTAATGGAAATGGTGTTGTGTAAAGTGAGACCCCCCTCCCACCCCGCCACTCATCATCATCATCATCATCATCTCTGAACCACAACATGTCAAACAGAGAGGAGTTCCATTAGAGACATTAAATGATCAGCAAAAGATTAAAGAGTCTTACTAGCCTATAGTCTTTTTAAATATACTATTAATGAAAGGAAGTCATCTTTAACATTTTTTAAGAATAAATATTTGTAATTCCTAGTAAACCCTGAATGATTCTTTCATAAACTACACAGTGACTGGTTCCCATTATTTTCATGTTGACTAGAAATAAATATTTATAATTCTTTGTGTAGGCATTCTATATTTATGACAAATTACTCATCTTGCTTGTTTTAAGGCAAATATCCATTGTTAACATAGAAAGCAGTGGACTGTCACAGATAAAGCTTCTCTTCTGGCTAACAGGTAGAAGTCAATGGGTACATGTCTAACTTGGATTATATGGATGTCGATGAAACACTTCCTGCATAACCTCAGAACTTCAAGCTAACAAGGTACTGTGTGGTAACATTTCCATTGTTAATGTGAAAATAAGAACAATGTTCATTCATTTGATTATCCTAGAATGGATTTTGTGATGTTTCACATTTTCACGAGGGTCCATCAAAGATCCACAAGGAAACCATCTGTTTACATGCTGATGGATGATAATTATTTTTAAAGCATCTCGAACAAGTAAAATACTGTACTTGCTTGGAAATTAGTATCAGAGTAATTTTCTGGTCAATAAAAACTACCTGGTAGTTATATATCTTCAATATAAATTGGCTTGTGTGTTATTTTAAATTAATGCACATGTATAAGTTTGAACATAAAGCATTTGTCTGTAAAAAAAGCAGGCTGTCAGGTCTAGTACAAGATTCTGTATCACTAGAAATTGCAGTGACCAGCAAATGGTGAGATTTCTTGCACTCATTCAATTAAATAAAATCATAAATGTAAATTAAATATTGATATGTCGGAGAGCTAATGAAAGCACTGGTTGTAAAAATTAAGATTCAATTGGAACTTGCTGGCGAGTGCGGCAGCATCGGCCGCAGTCTCCACACTGCCACAGTTCAGTGTCATTTGCCTGCTATACTTATTGACAGACACAAAAAGTTAGGCTCCTGTTTCCTGCTAGAATCTATTGAGAATACACCATTGAAGCATTACTGTTTTTTTGTGTAAATGACGGAACTTTTTCTATACCCCCCCCCCCCCCTTGCTTACCATTTCTGGCAAGCCAGGACTAGTGAGACCCCCTTCCCACCTCCCATCATATCAGAAGATGCCACAGCTCTGCTGACATTCTACTAGTCATTGAAATTAATGACTAGGCTGAAATTAAAACGCTTTGAACAATTCCTTCGAGACTGCTTGCTCTGTAAGTCGAGAAAGCAACTGGTGACTTCTATGTAGTTGGTCACCCTTAGAGCTAAATACCCACATTATTGGTTCTTTCTAGAACCAGATTAAATCACATCCAGTAATATGAAGTTTCAATTTTGATCTTTCTATTGGTTCTATGAATTGTGGATTAAGTTAAGTATGAAGTCTCGTTTTTGGTCCATTTGGTCTATCTCAACATTGGCTAGTCCAGAAAGTTTTTTTTTCACGTACCATGCTACAACATGTGTTGCTCACTCATTATCCTGTAATGTGTTTGTGATGTACAGTGGGACTTCAATTAACTAGATACCAATTTACCAGCTGGCAATGGCAAAATTAAGTTTTGTGTTCAAATTTTATGACATAACTGTTTTGTCAATAATAACTCAAATAGTTTTCATTGATAAAGTAGCAAAAATAACCTGGCCTAACCAAATCAGTCTTATTCATGTTACTTATCTTAGTTACAGTATAACTACACAGTAAAATAACAACATACTGGGGTGAACAACTTGGAAAAAAATGCAGAATAGAACCAGTGAAGAGCAGGGGTGCCATAGGCACAGTCAGAGAACACTGTATAAACATCAGAGGTCCACGGTTGTTCAACATCCTCCCAGCGAGCATAAGAAATATTGCCGGAACAACCATGGACATCTTCGAGAAAAAACTATATCATTTTCTCCAAGGAGTGCCGGACCAACCGGGCTGTGGTGGGTATGTCGGTTTGCGGGCTGCTCCAAGCAACAGCCTAATAGACCAAACTCTCAGGTCAAGCCTGGCCACGGGCCGGGCTTCGGGAGTAGAACTACTCCCAGAACCCCATCAAGCAGGTATGCCAACTGTAAATGCAGTCTATAGTGAAAATTAAAGAAATGTGAAGTTTATGAAATGTCACAAAAAGTGTCTGAGGGAAAGAATAAATAACTACCAACATCAGAAATACCGAGTTTTGCAAAAACAGAAGTCAAGGTAATTGAGTAGACAACACTAAGCCAATGTGATTACTGTATAACGAGGTAGGATATGAGAACAGAGTTAAGGATCAGTTCCCAACCCCTCTAACTCTTTGGGATAGGATGCTGACCCTGCAAGAAGTAGGGTTGTCTTCGCTGTATCATCCAGTTAAATGGATTGTAAGGCAAGGAGTGATTCCCTAGTCTTACATGGTCAAGTATGGGTACCAAGGTGAAGGCAACAATATATAATAACTATGAAGCGAGACAAAGTGATAAGAACATATGAAATAGCTGGCTATGATAATTAGACTAGGGACCAGGAATACAGTATATACACTTTTGAGGTGTATATATGCATTTGACTTAGGGTCCTTTACTATGTTCAAGGCTATGTATACTTGCTGGTAGCATTGTAAGAATTATATTTCTTATTGTTGGTTAGTATATTATTTTCTGAGTGCTTATGCCTCCAAAGTATAGAAAATGGCTATTATTTTCCCCTCAAGCTTTTCTTTAATTTTTGTTAAGACAGTTTAGGGAAGACGTCTTGAGGATACCTCAAGGTTGCCGACTCATGAAATAATGTGTCACAGCTCTAGATAAGCTTTCAGGCACAGTACCTGCAAGATGTCTAATGAATGCTGTCTTAGGCAAAGGTAAAGCAAATTTTGATGGGAATAATAACCATTTTCTATACTTAAGAACCATAAGCAATCAGAAAATAACACTTATTAAATGGTACAAAAAAGTGTTAATATTATGGTCAGTAATTTAGTAAAAGTGCTTAATAATCCTCCAGAGGTTTATGTGCTTCATGCACAACACCAAACACTGTTGTTTAATTAGCTGATGTTGGACAAATTCATTTTAATGTGACACAGGTGATGGTCTAACCAACAGTTTTCATCTACAGGTAAGCAATAATAAATTATTGGGAGATAGAAGATATGAGGTAGGCTGCCCGAGTTGCAGAAAATTTAAGTCTCCCAATGTAAGAACCGCTCAGAGATGTAAAATTATTGTACCTAACAGTAGGTAGTGAAAAAACCAAGTGTTGACAAAAATGTAGATACTGTATACTAAAGTAATTATCAACAGAAAGTGAAAACATATAATGTTCTGATTTAAAGGATGATCAGAGGTTTTGCTTTCCAGATGTCCTGTTGTATCAATAATCCTTTGATAGAATCCTTGTTGAATTTGATACATCACTCATCTTGGAGCATTTTGCTTTGACATCACTCATCTTGGAGCATTTTGCTCTGTCATCACTCATCTTGGAGCTTTTTGCAGTGACATTCCTTATCTTGGAGCATTTTGCTCTCGTATTGGCATCCTGAGTGATATCTAGGAATCTTTGACTCTTCTACACCAGAGACAGTGCTAAGTATTCTTCCAGGTTTGATACCTTCTTTTGATAATTGCTTCTATAGCACTTGGAACAGATATGAACACAGCTGGGATAGGACGGTTTGGAGAAATGGTCCCTAACTACTTGAGCCAATGACAATTGAACATTTGCAGTTGTTCAGTGTCACTGTACCAACTTGTCCAAATGGAAAGGTGACACTAAAGTCATCTATCTTACATCAAGAAGAGGTTGGACTTTATCAATGTTTTGCTGTAAGAACAGGAATAAAAGGTACTGTAGAAGCCAAAGAGTGACAATGCCTCCAAATTTAAGATGGAAATGTTCATTATCAAACTGTCCCTTAAACATGCATTTGACAAGCAACATAATAACGTACTGATAAACACAACATCCAAAATAGCTATTCAAGTCATGAGGAATCTTAAGCCATCAGACAATGTAAAATGGATCCTAATGAGCAAACTTAAGGGTAAGAGTCTCGAGTAAAATTCGGATTATCCACAATGAAAATCTCAGTCCACCAAGGTACTGTGCTTGCTCCAGTGCTTTTCTGATACTCATATCGTACATACAAGGACTCAAACTGTGATACCATATCATCCTTTGCAGATGACACTTGGGTTTTCATGAGTAGACAATATAGAGGACACAGCAAACCTCTAAAACCGATGTAAATCAGGTCTTTGAATGGGCCACAGAAAATAACAAAACCATTGGTTGTCTCGTCTCTTCCCAGTCCCAAAATGGGACTCTGTAGAGCTCCTTGTCTTCTATGGTCTTTCAGGATTGAACGTGTTCCTCCCCTACACCATTTTCCACATGACCACTATGACCCAGGTTCTCGTGTATTGGAGACTGGGGCCTGGATGGATTTTATGGGCCTCAAGGACGTGTATTGGCATGTCCCCCATGCATCTAAGGTTGATTTTTTTTAGGTTTCATTGTGGGTCATCGAGGTCCTTTCCTTCTGCTTGAGTCTGGCTTCCTGTGTCGTCACTGGGTTGGCATCATCGGGTCGTTGTGGATCAAATGGGTTCGTGTTTTCGCCAAAGTCATCAACTGGCTAGTTTGTGCCCCAAGTCAGTCTGCATATCTGCTAGTCAAGGATTTGGTTCTTTCTTAGCTCGCCTGGTTCAGGTTCCTTGTGAATTGGAGGAAGTCCCAGTTGCTTTTTGAAATTGGTTGAGCTTCGTATGGGACTCTTGGTTGGCACAAAGTTCATGTGAATATAATAACATCAGAAGTATTGTGAAAAATTAGCAAACATAACAACATAATTTACGAATTTAAAGAAAGAGGCTTTCAAGTCCATACACACACACTGTATGAAACCATTATGAAGGTTTTCTGTATGAAGCATAAACAGAAAATTGAGAAAGTTAATAAGCTAGAAAGTAGATTAGTACCAGAATTGAGAGGACCGAGGTATGAAGACAAGGTGAGAAAACTCTGCCTCACAACCTTAGACATGAAGAAATAGGTGATATGATAACTACATACAAGACCTTGAGGGGAATAAATGAAATTAATAAGAGAGCCTATTTAAATTAAAACGAGGTAGGACAAGGGGGACATCGGTAGAAGTTCGATATGCAACTGAGTTGAAGACATATGAGAACGTTCTTAATCTAACCTACCTGAGGACCCAAAACAGAAAACTAGACATTATACCAATATCGCGAGCTTTACCATTTTTCTAGTATTACGGGCTACTCATGCCCGTGCCACTTCTTGGGTGGCTTAATCTTCATTATTTAATATTTTCTAGTAGGACAATGTTTTTGCCCTTAGGTGGAGTATGTGTTGTTGTGTTGATTTAAGGTCGACGACCATGGAGGGAGCGGATGTGCCGCTACGTCAAAATACGACGTGCTATTAGGACAAGTTGTTTAAATCAAATAAAAAAGAATCAAAATAAAATGTTTATTCAGGTAAAAGTACATATATAGAAGATGAGTTACAAACATAATGTTGGACTTATAGATAGAACTATTACATACAATACCTAAAGCCACTAATACGCACAGCGTTTCGGGTAAGCTAAATTCGATTGTGAAAGATATTTAGCCCCATTGTAAAAAAAACAAAAACAAAGTTCATAAATAAAATACGTAGCGTTGTGAATTAACAACATAATTTTGTAGAGCTACATTTAATGCCAAATAAAGTAATGACGTAGAGAGCCTGCAAGTATTACTTTAGTTGTAAACTTTACAAGATGGCGTCGCAGCTTGGCAATAACAACAGAGGTGGTCGCCAGCTAAGCTGATGTTGGGAAGTGTTGGAGTGTCCTCATGAGGGGTGATGGACCACGAGGACAAGCTAGAGGTGCGTGTAGCATGTCTTGTGTAGTGTTGCTGGAGGATCTTCCTTCCCAGACATTGTAAAACGGACCAGAAAATGCGCCGCGCTTTCTTGGGACAGACACTAATGGTGCTACATAGTCTTCCTGCCTTGGTGCCATCTTTTAATAATTACATACTGTAGTGGGACAGAGTCCAGACTAACGTGAAAAACGAATCTGTAGTGTATGTAAGTCCGGACATTATATTTCCCCTCTGGCGGGGAGTGGCGGGGGTGGGAGGGCAACCTTGACTGCTCGCGGGGCCACCACCTGGCCACCACCTGGCCACTGCCACATACAACACCAACTAACTTCACTCTTCACGACCAAAGATCACATTCACTCCAAACATCTACCACCTACGGCCTGCTCATGTCTTTGTCACCTCTTGGGTAACTTAATGTTCGGCAGTTAGTCATCAAACTTCACTCTGCCTGCGTCTCTCAAAATACCCAAAGCCTCCTAGTATTAAGTAGTGAAGAAATATGACATATTTACTCACTATAATGTTGGTGCTGAATGTAGAGCATGAAGATATATTTTTACTCTGAAATAATATAATTTTATAATGAAATTAGATGAAACTAGGTGGCAGGTAATGCCACAGGAAGTCGATGATCCTAGTGACAGTGTTGTGGCTTTGGGTAATAAGATGGACCCAATTTCTTTATAAAATTATATTATTTTGGAGTAAAAATGTTTTTCATGTTCTACATTCAGCATCAACATTATAGTGAATACCACAGTTCTTCAGTTATAGTGAATATCACAGTTCTTCATTACTCACATAATGCTAGGAAGCTTTGGTTTACCCTGTCAAAGCTCAGTCGATTAAGGCAGTGTCTGGGATGCTCCCGGACGCAGGTTCGAATCCTCGTCACGGCCCTTGTGGATTTGTTCATAAGCTTTGGTTAACTTTGGGCAAATAGACTGACCGCTCTGCCTTGTAACTACGTCAGAAAAAACCTCACTCTTCTTGCCCAGTATTACATAATACCTATTGTTAACTGTCACGGCTCCTCAAGAATGCTGTCAAGCATTTTTGCTCCATTGGCACTTGCAAGAACTTTTTTGGAAATTATCGCCAGTGTAATCACACTCTCTCAAACAGGTTCGCCACTCCTGGGCCCTAGGGAAACTTCAGTAAGCCTAAAATGTTTCGTGTCCCTACAGTAGAAAACAACAATGTGAAGTGTGTTCCAATTATCTGTTGCCCACAAAATAGCGCAATTGTTGCATTATTATATATATAATATATTACTATTTAACACTTTCGCGCTCTCGGCGAAGGTCACTCAGCCAACCGTATGTGCGCGCGGCGTTTTTATCGCTTAAGCGTAAAAACAATAATGTGTATACTCTTTTTACTTTTCTGACCTTAGTTTTTATGCTACGTATTTCATTTTGGTACCAACGTGTTCGCAATAAAATTCTCTAGAAGAACATCAGTAAAAAAAGTCACGAAAGCTATAGAGATACCAGCATGAAATAAATAACTACGAAGATGAGTCGCCGTGAGCGCTCAACAGCAACAAAATGTTTTTACTCTTGGGATTATTATCACCTCTACAATTGTCCTACAGCCTTAATTTTGGTATCAATGGACTCCCAATAAAATTCCCAACACGGTGATATGAATATAATCGTAGAATAATGGTCCCGGCCCACCCGCAAGAGTGTGGGAAGTGGGCGCTCTGTTACCCGGTAACGGTGACCGGACGACATGCGCGCGAAACGTTGCTTTGAAAGTTTATACTTATTTCACTGTTCTGATATTATTATTGTATGCATGTCATTCATTTTTGTGGCAATGTTTTCGCAATAGAATGTTCTATGAGCTAAATTATACTACACAAACTTGGACCAAATAGGTGTACTTACCAAGGGAAGGCTGGTTGTGGACAGTAAGTTGAGCATTTGTTCTTCACTCCACCTTCTTCAGGTTCTTCATTCCTGAAGTTGCTCAACAGATGGTTTGTAGGTGGAGTGAAGCTGTTGTGGGTGGTTACTTCTTCACCACCCAATACACCTGTTTCCGGTGGTAATTGGTGTAGCAGGGAACAACACAGAGTGCAACACCACAGGTCTTGCATCCATAGTTCGTGTCCTTCCTTTTACCGGACCGTGCGCATGCATGACACTTGAGACATTTGGGCAGTCTGTAAATTTCATGTTTCAGTTTGTAGTTCATGCGATTTTCTGAATCAACAACAGGGCGGCCAGGTCCTTTCGCTGGAGGTGTAACAGGAGTTGCAGGAGAGTCAGATTCATCTGACAAAACAGTTTCGTCAACTGGCAGTGTGGCAGACATGTCGGGTTCAGATTCATTGTCTGCTTCATCTTGAGGTGATGTAGTGAACAAAGGCCGCCTCACACCAGATGGTCCAGGAGTTGGCATGGCGTCAGCATTGGCAGGAGCTGTGTCATCATTTATGTCTGGAGCGTGCCGCAAGTGTTGAGATGATGATGTTGTTTTAGGCCACTCCTCTGTGTCCAAGTGCAATAGGGCCCAGATTGCCACTTCGTGGAACTGTAGCAATGTTAGCTTTTTTCGATCAGTTGTGTTGTATTTGTACAAAACATAGGCATTATGCAATGCCATTTGCAGGAAATAAAAGGTAATCTTTTTGGTCCACTTGTGAGTTTTCCTGGTAAAATGGTAATATTTAACCATTTGATCGAAGTGGTCCACACCTTTCATGAACTTATTGTACTCGCAAATTGCAGTCGGTTTGTTCACTGTTACCTGTTGTATTCCACTTGTTATTCCACTTGTTATTCCACTTGTTTACACTATAATCGTTGTGGGTTCCAAAATCTTCCTCTAATACCTCTACATCACCTTCAGCTTCTGATAAATCCTCCACAAGGCCTGGAATTTTCGTTGGTGTGAGCTTCACTCCGCTCCACTTCTTAAAAATTTGGGTTATTTTGTCCACTCTCGATGACCTGGAGGCTTCCTTGGGCGTAGAAGTGCTTGGGCCTTGACCTTGATCCATTTTTGATGAAGTACAGTAATTGGGTATAATCCACATGGAAACGGGTAAAAATGCTCGAGTTTGGCGCGCGAGGGGAGCGTGATCGACTCACGACACGTGACACGAAAACAATGGGCCCGTCACGTGACCGGGTAGGCCGACGCGCCAGGCGGCCTAGTGGTGAGAAAGAGAACTTCATGGCGCGTCGTTTGAAACAAACCCCAATGAAATCGGATTAAAATTGAATTTTATACAAATATTTTAAAAGAAGACATAATTTTATGTCCACTATGCGTTTACGTTAGACGAAACCGGACGCGCCGGCGCGTCCAGATAGCGCGAAAGTGTTAAGTAAAAATGTAGAAAATAAAGCTTTTGTATCGCAATATTTTAAAAAAATTTTTTGCCATTTGAGTACAATTCTCAAAATACTTTTGAGCTTCCGAGAGAGAAATTGAAGTTGAAATTGATGTCTTCGAGTCCGAGTTTAGTGATGTATGACTAAATGAATATTTTATTTACCATTCTTCAATACAATGTAAATATTATACATTTTTAATAACTTTAAGCACTTGTCTATTTATTATATGAGAAACAGCTGTCCTTTAAGTCTGATACTTTACAGTTTGTCACATCCAGGATATTGCAAAAAATGACAAAAAGAAAATATATACTGTACTGTATACAGTATGTGGATATAAAATGGCCATATAACCATCATATTATTTAAATACAGTATAGTTCTGCAGCACACCCTAAGAATATAAGAATAAGGCAAACTGTTAAGCCTATTGGCCAGTGTGAGAAAAGTGTTTATATCCAACAACACTAGCTTGGTATATTTGTCAATAATTCATTGTGCTGAGGGACAGGCAGCCAGTGTAATGTATGTATGTATGCATATATATATATATATATATATATATAATATGCATACATACATACACACACATTATGCTTATATAGAGGTCCCCCCACAAGGTCACGTTATTAATCTCCAAGATGCAACCCTACAACAAGCTGACTAACTCCTCGGTATCCTGCTACATAGTTTCCTTGGTTTTTGATAATTACAGTACTGTACTTACTTCCTTTTATTGCTAGGCGAGCAGGGGCTAGCTAGGAAATGTGCCCAATTATTTCTGTCCCGCCCAGTATTTGAACTTGGAATTCTCGATAGTGAGTCGAGAACATATCCAAATGTACTACCGGGGCGCTTTCACACCACATCTATTATTTTATCGGCCAACATGTTCCAAATCTCTGCAAATCTAAGTACTGTACAGTATTACAAAGTATTAATTTACTCGAGAGCCATTTATCTGCTTAGTCGTGAAGTTTTCCAAAGTCTTTCTTGCAGACCTCTAGTCCTCTAAAGTTCTTGCTCTCCTTGCTAACTTTGCATCAGCTGTAAAAATGACTTGTACGAATACTCTTTACCTAATACTCTTACTGGTAAATTATTTTCATAAATTAGAACAATGATCCTAGGACAGAACCCTGGGGAACCAGATTTGCCAATCCTCCAGCCTAACACATTCTCTTTGTGAGCATTTGTTTCCTGTCCATCAAGTGCTTCCTCACCCAGTTCAAAGTCTTTCCTGCTATTCCCTCTTGTGTCTCAATCTTCTGTATTGATGTTTTGCGAGGAACTGTAGCAAAAGCTTTCTGGCAGTCGAGAAAGATGCTGTTTACTTATCCTTCATTCTCTTGTCTGATTTTGGTGATCCTGTCATTAAATTCAATCACGTTTGTTTAGCATGATTTTTCTCTCTCTGAATCTAGGTTGTTTCTTTATTTATAAAATTTATTCTACAATTCTTTTCCTGATCACTTTTTCCAGTGCAGTATTTTTTTGTGGTAAGCATGTTAGTGACAGTACTCTGTTACTCCTATGCATTGCCATGTTACAAGTTTCAGTACAGTATCTCATTCACTGATTTTTTCCTTCCTGCAGGTAAGCCCTAACCCTCCTAAACTCCCTTCTGCATTTTCTGACACTTCTTATACTCTGTTGTGGTTGGACTTCCTCTTTCAGTTCTCTAATGTAATCAAACGGTAACACTGGCTGGTTGTAGTAGCACTTTATATTTTAATAAAGTTCTCTACATCTTCATTTTGCATAAACACCAGGTCTAGGGTAGCTGGTTGTGATCCCCCTCTTTCACTTGTTGGCTCTTTGATGTGTTGCCACAGGAAGTGTTTGTCTGCTGTGTCCACTGATCTTGTTTGGCTGCCATTTCTATTATCTTCAAGTATGTTATGTTGCATTTGCCATACTTCTTCCTCAATTTCCCTACATAGTCAGTGGAGGGTTGTAAATAACAAATACTACCGTACTAACTTTATGTATCTGTGGTGTTGTATAATGTGTAATATACTGTATAGTAAATGGATAGTAAATGGATGGGGTTAAAAGTGAACAGCTGTACTGCACAGTATATTGTTTTATAGTTGCAGCAATAGCCTAAACAATATTGTCAATTTAACAGAATTGTTTTGTTTTGGCAGTTCTTTCCAAATGGCGTCAGTGGACCCTGTAGCCGATGTGGAAAGTTTTCTCCTGGTCCTGAACACCTTCTGTACTGCAGTCAGTGTCAAGGACTGGTGCACATTGAATGCTTAAATTCAAAACCTCGATGTCTTCTAGTTGGTGATAATTTCTACACACTCACATGTCTCAAGTGTAGTAGCAACAAAGAAGATTTTGTGGTTCGTCCCAAATTTCTTAGCAGGTGAGTTAAAAATGTGTTACATGCAACACTGGTGGGTTAGTGCCTATTCAGTGGGTGTTTTTTTTTTCAAAAGCCCATCATTATCAGGGCTTGTTTGTTGTCGGGTGGTATCCAAATTCTCTCTGCTTCTTGGCTTCATTGACGTGTCATCTGGCTGTGTCCAGGTCACCTTCCTCTAAGAAGCTGTTCCTGAAGCCGAGATCTAAACTATTCTGCTCTTAAGGCTCTAGTCTTCATTCTCACCTTGAGATCGGTTAAGCTCAACTAACTCGGGTGTAAGAGAAGAGAGTGAGTGATAGGGTTGAAGGGGGAGGAGTGTGAGAGTGTTGGCCTATCTGCATGCGTGTGCACGCTTGTGGATGGTTCAGTTCCTGTGTACCAGAAAGGTTCAACTCATTTCTCTGCCTCCCCATTCCCCATCATTCAATACCTGACTTCTAATGTAGCCTTCATGAGTGTTGAAAGAGTTTTGAGTGCCTACAGTTGCTCATATTGCCAGTCACTCCAGCTGGGTTATGGCGGGGTTAACCCTTGAGGGGTCCAAAGTATTCCTGAGAGACTGGCTCAGAAAGTTTATTATTATTATTAATGCACTATACTGTATTTGGTGTGAATACTAACACAGGATAAGAATTTTGTTTGTTAATATTTTGTTTCAAAATATGGACCCAAAGTTGCTTCCATTTTTAAAAATTGTATAGATCAAATTCAAAATATAACATACTTTAACACTATAAATTAATAAATTTATACTGTAACACAAATTAGAAAACTATCATCTGAGGACCACACAAAGAATATTGTGCGAGGAGCCTATTTTACACTTTCTAACTTCAGAATTGCTTTTAAATACACGGATGGCAAAATACTAAAGAAATTATTCACAACTTTAGTTAGACCTAATCTGGAATATGCAGCAGTTGTATGGTGCCCATCCATATCTTAAGAAACACATCAACAACCTGGAAAAGGTGCAAAGACATGCCACTAAGTGGTTCCCAGAACTGAAGGACAAGAGCTACGAGGAGAGGTTAGAGGCATTAAATATGCCAAAACTGGAAGATAGAAGAAAAAGAGGTGATGTGATCACTACGTACAAAATAGTAACAGGAATTGATAAAATTGATAGGGATGAATTCCTAAGACCTGGAACTTCAAGAACCAGAGGTCATAGATTTAAACTAACTAAACAAAGATGCTGAAGAAATATAAGACGATTCACTTTCGCACAGAGTGGTAGACGGTTGGAACAAGTTAGGTGAGAAGGTGGTGGAGGCCAAAACTGTCGGTAGCTTCAAAGAGAAAGAGTGTATGACAAAGAGTGCTGGGAAGACAGGACAGCATGAGCGTAACTCTCATCCTGTAACTACACTTGGGTAATTACACTTGGTAATTACTACAGTGGTACCCAGTAATTGAAGTGTGTCAGTGTTATTATTGTACTGTATTTATATTTTGTGCTATTTATCATTGTGTGTCTCCTGCATCCAGATTTTTTTAGTTTTTAGAAAAGGTGTTACTTAATCATTCCATCAATGGGTGATTATTATTATTTGCATGTGACATTTGTAATTGGATGTACATTCATTTCAGTGTAAGACTGAAGTAAATTGTATGCATTACAAACGAAATGTGGTCATCCTTTGAATGGAGGAGTGTTTTGTGATGTAATAAAGTACATTATGTAAGAAAGTACAGTAAAATGCAGTGTTTTGTGATATAATAACATACAGGATGAGCATTAGTTGATCTTGTCATTGTTCCATATCTGCAGACTTCAGGCTCTCGTCATGGTACTCTTCCATCTTCACAAAACTTCAACTGAGAGTTCATGCCAAGGCTTCTTCCATGTAGAGGACCATATCTCTGAATTCTTTATTGGTTACTGGGAAGACATATTTGGTTCTAACAGGTAAGTAATAAATGTATTTATTTATATTATTCTATAACTTTTGGTATGAATTACAGTGCTGTATTGTAAATGTCGAGTTCATATTTAGGGGCCATTAAATGTACAAACATTGCCTGCTTTTATTGGTATATTTAATGACCCCTAATTTTTATCTGGATGGATGGGGTTTGTGCATTGAGTGCTGTGGATTGGTTGCTGATGTTCATTACCCCTTGATGTGATTGTGATTGCACTTGTGATTGTGGACATTTTGGGATCATTGCTCTTAGCTTCATCCTTGACCTGTGTGTATTGTACTGACCTGGCAATGGTACCATGCTTGTAAAGTATCATATAAATAGCTTACCATCTTCCCTACCTCTAAAAACTGGAATATGTTTTACTATTCTAATAATAATAAGAACTATTCCTCCAGATCCCAACATTTCCTGGAGCATATGGAGTGCAGTTGTCAGTTTAGAGCACGCCCAGGTGAAATAACTGGAGACTTGCTATAGGTTTTAATGAAATTGCATTACAGAAATTAATATCCCTTTGTATATGTGGTGAACAAATTCTTAAGCTACACTCTTTGAAGGTATTATTATTGAAATGCCTTGACAAATATAATTTCTCAATCATTTACTTATTTATTTACTGTTACTCTGTTGATCTTTAAATTAAGTTTTAGAAGCACAAATGTAGGGCTCAAGTGGAGTCTACAGTGTCTAATTTTCTTATTGCCTCTGTAATATAATCAATTTGTCTGATTTAATTTCAGTAATATAAAGAAAAGAGGAGCAGATGGCAGAGGCATCTTAGCGGGTCTGCAGGACGTCTTGTTACAACACCCACAGTATTTTGTCAAAGGTCCAGAAAGTCTAGGTGATGGAGAGTGGTACAAGCTTTCTGCTATAAAGCCACCTGCTCAGCTTCTCCACACCAATTCCTGCCTTGACAGTAAAACCAATGTAATTATGTCTGGTATCTGATTTAACTTACAGTATAAGTAATTCCCTGTTAATTATGTCCAGTTGTAACTTTTATACCTGGAAATACAGTATTTAAATATTGTAGCAAATCTCTTCAAATTTAGCCCACATAATCTGAAAACCATCATGCAATAAAAATTATATTGGGTAGCTGTGAGATGTAACAACTATGATGAAGAAGAATTACCAATTGATGCTGCTTTGCTGGCTATATCAGATTAAAGGCTGGTAGCCAGGTAAACAAATTCAAGATATATAAAGGAGAAGGATTTAGAAAGTAAATGAAAATATGAGTAAGGTTCTGGTCAGTTATGTTGTAATATTGGATTTTAATGGAGGTAATTGTGTTTTCATCTAGGAAGCATACAAATCTGCAGACTTGTATGGAAGTCTTTTGAAATATAGTTGTGTGCAACAAATACCTTAGGTGAGAATAGAAAAGAAACATTCCAATGGTTTTGCTAAAATGAGGAGCAGGCTACAATCACCACAAACATCACACCCAGTGCAAACATTATAAAGATCCATTCAACCACCACCAAACACCACAACTCCAACCAGCAGCCATCACTGCCAAAACACTTCACAAGAACTAACTACAGCCTCCATAACAATCATTACAACTATTTCCACCACTACCACTAGATGATCTGTTCAATAAAAGGTGTGTTACAGAAAATATAAATGGAAGATGATAGGATAATGTGTTCATTATTAGTGTTGATGAAGGAGAGTGTGAGACTGCATAGAAGCAAGAGCCTCACTTGAAGAATAAGCTTACTGCACCACAGGTTATGACAAACCACTTAAGAAGTGGATGAATCTATTGATGGTATTTAGGTTAAGAAAATACTTGAATTCATTGTGGGGAACATTGTTCATGATATGCCTTGCTTGGCTATTTCTTTTATAGTTAATTGTATTAAAGATGCTCCTTTGCCAAATCAAACCTGGCTATTTTACTATTGTAATAGAAAGAACTTTACTATTGTAATATTGTAATTTCAATGGCTTAATTATTTCACTTGGAATAAAATGTCCCCCTTTTTTATACTGTATGTAATATGTATAGCTTAATAAACAAAAAATCTTCATCTAGGAAGCATGTGAAGAAGTTGCAAGTGCAAATGGTGAGACCACATCTACAAGGAAGAGGTGTCGAGAAGATAGAGATGTGGTACGTTTTTATGACTTGTTGTAAAGGAAATGGGGGATGGATAACCTATATTACAGTATTTATTATTGCAAATTATAGGACTAAGAACTTCACTCTTATTGGTTAACTTTGCTGATTATTTCTTGTATTATGAGAAAGATTAATTTGAATAATAAATGATCTGCACTTGTTAACCCCACTAAGGGGGAAAACTTTTTTCTGGGCTAACTCTGTAGCTTCCTGGTGCATTGGCTCAGGTACCACAGTAACAGCCATAACAGTACCCTGTACCAGTTTCTGTCCAATTTCGTGACAACTGTCTGTCCTCGTTTAGATCTCTTGGCCTTGGCATGGATTCATGAGCTACTTTATGTCACTCCCTTTCCTGTCATTGCTGTGCTGGCTCCTCTATGGTTGGCTCAGCCCTGGTTCTTGCTCAATTTCTTCATTCTTTTCTGCTCTTGGGTCTCCACCTCTTCCAGATTATTAGTAGCCAGACTTACCTGGATGGTTCAAGTCTATCCATTGATCTTCAGATCTGTAATTTTTGAGATGTTTATGAGGACCAGAAGGTGACTCTTTTGATGTTGCATTTATGTCCTTCCCAATACCAGTATGAGGTTGTTTGATGGTCCTTTTGACTTTTTCTTTCTCTTCATCACTCGTCCTCCATTTCTGTGGCAATGATCATATCTTCTGTCTTGGCTCCTTGTAGAGTGTTGTCTGATGCCTCCTACCATTTGGCTTTCGCAGAGCTTTTCTTACATATTTTTACGGTAGCTGTTTCTTCACCCCTAATCCCCCAATCTTTAAGTTGTCTTGGGCGTGTTTTTTTTTTTTTTTTTTTTAACACCATTGCCAGCCTTTGTTGGGAATAGAGCCCATTTGGTTCTTGAAGTGAGTTCTTTCATTTTGGCACTGCTTAGGTTTCTCGTTCTCCGTGGCTGAAGATTCCTTTTTCAGTGTGGTTTTATAGTAGTCTCTGGATTCTGGTGGTCATGGTTGTGAACTTCATGCTTTGTTCTTTTGTCATTGGGTTCACTCTATCTCCAGCCTTTTCTGGAAGATCATCTCTCTATCTTCTCTAGCAGCTCATCCAGAATCCTCCAACCCAAGGTACCACAACAACAGGCTCTAATGAATCACATGTGTGTACCTGAAACCATGACCAGAATCAGGTCCCCTTAATAGAGGCATAAGGGTGTGGGGATATAATATCACATTATTGAAGGAAAATCCACCAGATAGTGGATTGTGATAGGTAGAACGCACCAAAATAACCAACCGCTCAGATAAGATTTGCTACCCCTGATTCAAACTTATGTTCATATTTATTGTCTAGGTCCAACCACTAGTTACCTAACCTCCCTTATGACCAAATGGTAGCTCTAGCAAACCTGAGGATCCTGGGTAGCTACCCAAGTCATTCACTCACTACACAATGATCCATGAGCACCTGAAAGATATGAAGGGCAGGAATAAGATAAAAAGGGGCCCCTCCAGAAAGAGGCGTTTCATTACATTCAATGTTGGTTTTCTGGGTGGGGTTCTCCACTGTATGTTCCCGAGCTAGCTCATCATGCAGAAGAAACCAACAAAGCAGGCTTAGTGTGGAGGGCAGGAGAAGCAAAGAATCATACATAAGAACCCAGCAAATAGAATCAGACTCCAATACAAGGAGTCATGGAAACTATATGAACAAAGTGCTCCCTCAAGATTCTGAGCAGAATGCAGGGAATGGCATCCCACCACCAAACTGGTGCATAGGACCCTCCAGCCAGAATGACCAAGCACATCCACTTACAGCAACCCCCCTTTTCCTTCCTGGACGCTCACAGTCTCGCATTGACACAATACATAGAGCCCGAAAAGTCGGTGCCAGCAGAAGAAATTGAGAAATGCGACCAGAGAAGACAGCCTGAAAAAGGATAACTAGGATCAAAGGGGAGGTGGAGAAAGGAGGGGGACCAAAAAATTAACCTAAATCAGACCAAGCAGGCTAAGAAGAACCTACTGGAGGTGTGAAAGCCAGAGACAGTTCTCGAAACAGTGCCAATATAAATAGCCACACTGAAAGCCAACAAGAGAGGCTCCACCAACCCAAACAAAGAGCCAAAAGGCAACAGGCATTAAACAAAACCAAAAAGGAAATGATAAGACTACCGGAACAACACCAGACGGCAAAGAGACGGAAAAAACAAAAAAGCAAACCAAGGTATCGGAAACCAAAGCCAAGAAGACAGCAGCAGCAGATCTGCCAACTGCACAACAGATAGATGGCAGGACTCTCAGCACAAGAAAGTTAACATGAGAAAATAATATCAGTGAAGCTCCAACCACTAAGGAATGGCTCATGACCAACCCTCCTGAATTAGATGGAGCCTGGAAGCAGTACAGGTCTGGACACCGAGCCCCAAGGTTCAGAATCCAAGCTATAGCCTGCAACCAAGGAGGGGTACCCCACTGACAGATGTCCCAAGCCAGGAAAAAGCGTGGAAAAACACTGAATCGGGTAGTAGAGGAAACCTAACCAGCTCCAGATCAGGTGAAATGGAAACCATGAATGCCTCTCTAACTGGCAATGAGACAACAATCAGAACCTACTGTGGCCATGTTCATTTAGGAGGCCCTAGTCAGAGACCGGGCTGCGGGGAGCTTGACCCCGAGGATCAACTCAAGGTATGCTGGAGGGAAAAGATGAACATCAGTGGAATAATCCAACAGCTTACAGAACCAACTGAAGGATGTGTTAATGACTGTCCACATCACCAAAAAAGGATGGATTACAAGGAGACACCATCTGTAAGCACAGTTCACATGCCACACAAGAGAAAGTGCCAAGCCAAGCCAAGATAATCAGGAACAACACGAACCAATGCTAGCTCCAAACCAGAAAAGACTTAACTGACCCACACTGGGAAACAAAGAACCACCAAAGTGCAGGCAGAGGGAAAACTGGACCATAGAGACCCAAAAAGAGCCAAATTTATATTGATTCCTTCTTAGCAGTGCCATTGGAAAGAGTAAGACATTTATTTACCATGGACCTAAGAAAGTATGGATCCAAAATGGAAGTGCTGCAGCAAAAGGGTTAAGAGAAATATAGATCACTTTAAAGTCATATTCTGTGTGGTACTTATAAATTGATGTAAAGTTTTCTGAATATTCTAAATCACTTACTATTGAGATCATATGAATTTAACAGTAACCAGTTATTACACATGGTATATAGAATATCCTTTATTTATTATAATTATGCAAGCTATACCAGAAATGGGTTTTGCAGGATTCTCCAAAACCGTCACCGCTTAAGAAAGGAATGTCAAGCTTGAGTGAGGACTTCACGATAACTGATCCAACAGATGAGATAATTATTGGCAGTAATAATGAGAGCCCAGGTCAGGTGAGCAGCTGGCCAACAAATTTTTGTAGTGTTACTGTATCTTTCAGCTTAAGTTGGCCTTAAAATTACAAACAAAAAAGATATAATTTAGTGTACTAGATACTCCATAATGCAAAGTCCTATTGATACTAGGTTAGGATCGTACAGTCAGGGCAGATGAAGATTCTGCACTTGCATACCTGGAAACTTTTCTGACATTCCCTGCCAGATCCTATTGGTACTAGGGAGACACTAGTATCAAACTTAAAGCCTTTACAGGTACTACTTATCACAGGGCCTGCCAAGCAGTGTCTCATCTATCAGATGACTCGCTAGGTCACTAGTGATGACTGCCACTAGGTTATCTTGAGATGATTTCGGGGCTTTAGTGTCCCTGTGGCCCGGTCCTCGACCAGGCCTCCACCCCCCAGGAAGCAGCCCGTGACAGCTGACTAACTCCCAGGTACTGCTAGGTACCAGGGGCATTCAGGGTGAAAGAAACTTTGCCCATTTGTTTCTGCCTCGTGTGGGAATCGAACCCGCGCCACAGAATTACGAGTCCTGCGCGCTATCCACCAGGCTACGAGGCCCCCTCGTAGGTGGCAACACAAATCACAGAAAAACATTGGACTTATTTTCTTGTCTTTTGTTTGATTCACAAGTTAAGGAAAAGATTAGGAGCAAGCCAGTGTACTGCTCTGAAAGTGCTGTTCACATATACTCAGTGTCTTATTGGTGATGTATCCCATTAGGTTGTATTCACCAGAAGCCACTGTAACAAAAATGTGTAATGCTCACCTGGGCTGTAGAGTGGGATGAATAGTAGCTGCTAGGGAAGATGCTTCCAAAGTTTGGCATCAGTTGATCATTGGGAGTTGCCAACTGTCTGTGCAGGTTCTTAGGCACATTGTTATACTTTTTATACCAACATAATCCTTTTGCTGTTATTACACTAATACACACATTATATACAAGTATCTACATTTGTGCTCACCATAGAGAACCACTGAGCTGTTATGGTGAATGCAGATAATAACAGGTGACTACACAGTCAGTAAATGGCACAATCTTCCTCCCTCCCTCCCTCCCACAGCATTACAACTCCCACACAGCATTAATTATCACAACAATCCTGCTATTATCACAATCCTGGTCATTTTTATCACAGTCAGGAGTCATCTGTAATATTGTCATCGCTAAATAATGGCAGTTACATATTTATTTTGACATTTTTAGGCGATGCTGTGGTCACAAGCTGAAAAGCAATGCTGTTAGCTCATGCTGTGTGTGCCAGCCTTGGTTGCTCCAATAGTACTGTGGCTTTCACACCGGAGAATATTGTCCACGATTTTTTTTTAAACATGGCGTCTGTTTACAAGAGCCCTGAGAAAGCTGATGTGAACCCTGTGTAGCCGCAGGCCATTTGAATCGTGCCTGGCACCCTATGGCGTATATATATGCCATGCGCAGTTTAAGGGTTAAAGGACAGGTTTGAGGTTTAGATAGCCATCAGGTCAGCTAGTTACACTAGGAAAGTGTAGCCTAAGTAATTGGTACTGGATAATGTCTTGGAGAGAACACAATGCTAATGTTTCTCATGTTAGTCCTTCAACTAGTCAACTACTGTATACTTTGTCATACAAGTTTAATGCATTTTCTTCAGAATTCTAAAACTAATGTTTCATAATTTTTATAAAGATTTCAACAAGTGAAATGGTCTTTAATCACTGGTGACAAATCTACCTGTAGACGAGTCATAGTGGATAAAGTTTTAAAAAACTAAATTTGTATCATTAATAAGCACTTTAGTCTTCTTTGGGTTCTCAAGTGTAAAAGGAATTACATGTGGATTTTAATTGATGCAAGTCATGTCTTGTGGATTATTTATAAAAATAGGTACAAGTATTGCTATTTCTCCTGAAACAAAGATTTCTTCACTTTTTGTTTTTTTAGGATGCAAAACACAATATATGACATGTTTTGTATGAATAAACTTGCCCTGTTTTTTTATTTGTGTATTTATAGATTGTTACAATACCACTTGAATTGTGGTGTGATTCATTAAACTACATTCCTTAGCATTACAATATATGGTGGTATAATTGTTTTATGTTACTGCAGGTTACTGTGAAGCAGGAGCCTGAGTACAAGGAGGAGGAGGAAGTGTTTGTTGCCGAATTTACTGGAGAAGATGAAAGTTCAGTTGATCCTTTTGCCGATATTGATGGGGACCAAACAATAATGCCATCGGCAATTTTATCTGATGATGTAACACATTCAGCTGCAGAAAATCTAAACGAATTTTCAAGTTCCCAGTTAGTTAAAGTTTTCTCAGAGAAACCATCTCGATTAATTAAGCCCAAAGTAATCAGTGCTCCTCAGCCACAGATTATTTCTTCTGATGGCCCAAACAACATAGAATGTGTCGGTGATAATGATCGAGACGTACGTGTTACACGGTAAGTATAATTTGTAATTTCATATCTGCAGATACACACTCGTTGTGTTTTACACTTGCATGCATACATGCACATGCTTTTGCAATCATACACATATATCAACATACTCCTGCAGCTACAAACATACATGTACCTCCTTTCTTCTTGATACTGGTTAAATGAGAAAAGTTAAACACAAGAGTGACTCAAAAATATAGTTGCATATGATTAGAATTTGCCTATTCATCAGTATCTCTTATGGAATCCCTAGTTACCTTGGTGTGCTGTGGCACAGTGGTTGAAAAGCACTGCTCTAGAGGGAGTAAATAGAGAATAAACCAGTCCAGCCTAGAATAATCAAGAATAGTTTATTCATAAAACTCAAAGCACTGCAGAACCTCAACCACCAAGCAAGCACCCTATGAAAATTGTAGAGAATTTCATAAAATAAGAACAATAAGATAAAATTTAAATTGCTTATATTAAGTACTTAAAGTATATATATATTATATAATTATTGATGTAATTTTTGAAATTTTAAAATTAAGTACTGAACTCTTAATTGTTGCTAAAATATATTTAGTTTGTAAAACAAACATGTACAGTATTACTGTATATTCTTGCAGTAAAGGACCTTGTCCTTGTGTGATTATTCCTCTCTTTTCAGACATTTTGATTCTTCATGGCACTTGGTTGAAGATATGCTACCTGGGATGTTTTCTCATAAAGTGATAAACTATGAATACATACCTGAAATCAGTCTACCAGGCTTCAATATGATAGCTGATAGCACTGTATCAACCAAAGAAGATATCTTACTCTGGCTCCGAGAGTTCAGTAAACGCACACAGACGTGTTGGATGCCTCGGGCCTGTGTGATGGGATCCTCATACCCCATTACACACAGAGCGATGTATGTATGCCTTGGTTCTTCAAAAACTGAAAAAGATAAGAGTAGAGTGACTCCAAGATGCAAAGCCTTTATTAACATTAAATTATATGAGAGAGATATTCTAAGGGAAGTGAATAATAGATCAGCAGGCTTTTTATCCAGAATCTCCCTTTCATACGTTCATAATCATTCAGTAATGTTTAAAGAAGCATTACAATATAAAAGTGTCAAAAAAGAAATAGTGGAAATGTTCCGTAAGTATTTTTGCGAGGGTAACAGTGCCACGAGTGCACACCACTACCATGAGGCTAGGTTGTGGCTTAGAGACTCTGCATCCCAGTTACTGATTGACAACTCCATTAACCCAAAGATACAAACAATAAAGTACATGAGGGAGCATTGGGGAAAACAAAATGCTGCTACAGTTAAAAACACTAAAGTTCATGGAAAGGGTGGTGACACATTGTTTAATGCAGTTTGTGAAAAAGTTGAAGAACTGAGCCGTGAAAGAAAGGTTCAGTATTTTATAGTTAAAGTTCCTTTTTCTGTCGCTTTAGTGACTCCCATGATGAAGCGAGTTCACAGCATTCCAGAAGCCTCACTAATTATGTTTGCAAACACTGTCAATGGTTGTGGTGAAGATAGGTGTAGTATTACATATTTTATGTGTGCTTCTGTAGCAGGAGTCTTGCCTCTTGGTGTAGTTATTGTGAGTAACCCAACTTGTAGTGCATTTAAAGTTGCCTTCAGAAACTTAGTCACAACTATAGGTGAAACTGCATTTGGAGGTAGAGGGTCTCCAATGGTGATAATTAGTGATGGTTTTGAACCCCAAAGGGATGCATTAAAAAACTGTTTTCCTTTTAGTCATGTATTATTGTGTGTTACACACCTTGTTCGCTCTGTTTGGAGATGGCTAACTGAAGATTCTAATCACATTAAAGAAAATCACCGTGTAACTTTAATGAATCTTGTAAAAAATGTTTTATACGCATCATCACCTGATGAGAGCATACTGTCTTATAAGGTGTTATTAGAAGACAGTACTTCAAAACAATACAAGGTATTTCATACATATTTAGCAACGTTATGGTACAGGAGAAGTGAAGTTGGCTTGGTGTACAAATTGCCTATTAATAACAAGGATTTTATTGAATTATCTAGAAGAACATTTATTGATGCTATTCTAACAAAATGCCAGGCATTCAACACACTACCAATGATGAATTATGTTTGCATAGCTGTGGAGGAGTGCTTTCAGAGCAGAATTTCAGAATTTATTGAAAATACAGCATCTCAGCTTACCTTCTTAAAGTGCATGGATGGAAACATCTTACCGGAGACTAACACTGTAAAATCATCTTACAAGGTGCGAAGTTTGCATGATGAGGAAACTTGGTTCACTGTGGACTGTGAAGCATCAGTGTGTTCTTGTTTATCTGGAGGTCTAGGAGGCTTGTGTGAACACCAGCGAGCAGTGTGGAAGATGCAGAACACACAGCTTCCTTCACCACCAGAGATAGATGCTGCAGGCAAGCTTCAGTTGGCAGAAATAGCGTTTGGAGAAGTTGGTTACCAAAGTTTCAACAGAACGGAATATGATTTCACAATTAAAGCTCTGAAAAAAAATTTGGCTAGATTAGAAACTATTGCTAGCCAAAATATTACAAATTCTTTTATCGGGAAAATGAAGCAGATGAACCAAGCATTAGAAAAAATTACTTCTCTTAATGAATTAGGAACTTTTTGTGAGGTGGTAGCAAACTCCCAGGCTCATATGCAGATAAGTTTAAATATATTGCCACCTCAAACAAATTTGGTACAACCACAAGCAAACATTGTGCAACCTCAAGCTAATATGGTACAGTCACACACTAACATGATGCAACCACAACCAAATCTTGTGCAACCACATTCTAATATTGCACAAACACAGGCTAGTATTGTGCAACCGCAAACAACTTTTATACAACCGCAAGTAAATGTTGTTCATACACGGGCCAGTTTTGCTCGGTCCCAAACTAGTCTTGTACAGGCACAAACAAATCTTCTGCAGGCACAAAATAATATTGTACAAACACAAACTAGCCTTGTACAGCAGCAAACTGGCCTTGTACAGCCTCATGCTAGTCTTATACAGCCCCAAGCTAGCATCGGACAGTCCCAAGTCAATATTGTGCAGCCACAAACTAGTATTATACAACCACAAACACGTACAAGAATAAACCCAATACAATTTTTGGTTGTGCAACCCATAAATAAATGCTGAAGAAAGTAGAAAGTGAATTGTCAATTCATAACTTGTGAATTTAGGTGAACAAAGCACAGTATATATGAACATATTGTATTGAACAAGTATATGTGAACATATTGAGTACAGTGTATGTGAACAAAGCCTGGATGTCAACTTATACATTTATTCATTAATTTTAAATGCAAGCTTTTATACTTTGTAATGAATTATTAAAATTTTGTCTACACACTGTATTCATATCACCAGTGTTGACTTATCTTTTTACAATGGCTGTTGAAATGACAAATGAAACTACTGTAAATACTGTAATTGGATAATTTTTTGGATTTGGAGGTTGTGCCATTTGTACGGACTAAATTCATGTGATTTAAAAATAGTAAAAGTCGGTGCATTTATTTAATGCAAAAAATCAAGATTTAATAAACTTGTTTTCAAAGTTATAAACATTTTCACAAAGTCTGCTAAACCCCATCTTAAGGTTAGGGAATATTATTTATTTTTTGTCTTGCATATTTTCAGATGCTCTCTGAAAATAAGCCTAGAATACATTATTTGAGTTCATCCAACATTACAGAAAAGATTTGTTGATTCTTTACATTACCAGATGTGTTCTGGTAATTTTCACTCGTATTAAAATCTCATAAAGTTTAGAAAATGTTTAAATTAGACCACTTCTGTGTCTCCTAAATTAGTCCCATTTTATTTATGCAAGTTCTTAAAAGAAAGTTTATACTGTTTTTAATTTTGATGTCCCTCAGAACAATCATCCTACAGAACTAACTAATTATCATGGTTCAACAGAGCCTATAGGCTCTTGGTATGTACATAGTATACAGTCAGTCAAAAATATCTTCCTCGTATGATTAAAATAAAACAAAAATACATAAAAATAAAATGAAAAAGACATTACTTCAGTACCAGTATACGGTAGTTTCTCATTAGAAAATAACCATGAAAACCCCACTGGGGGTAGACATCAAAGTGGTGAGATGTCACCAGCAGAGTCCCACAGGGCTCTGTTCATGGACCCATCCTGTTTGATATATGTAAATGACCTTCCAGAAGGTATAGTGCTACATAGCCCTCCCGGTTTGGTGCCTTCTTTTGATAATTACTTACTTACTTCCAGAGGGTATCGACTCATTCTCTCAATGTTTGTTGATGCAAAAATTATGAGAAGAATCAAGATATGAAGACAGACTACAAGACGACCTGGACAAACTTGAGGAATGGTCTAGAAAATGGCTACCAAAGTTTAACTCAGGAAATTGTAAAGTAATGAAAGTAGGCAAAGAGAGCAGGAGGCTGAACACAAGGTACTTTCTAGAAACACGAGACAAAGTTAGAGAAGATTCAAAGGTATACCACCAGACTAGTCCCAGAACCAAGAGGTACGAGCTATGAGGAAAGCCTACTGGAACTAAACTTTGCGTCCTTGAAGGATAGAAGAGTTCGGGGAGGCATGATAACCACCTACAAAATGCTCGAAAATTGACAGTGTGGACAAAGACAAATTATTTAACATGGGAGGAACACAAACAAGGGTACACAGGTGGAAACTTAGTACCCAAATGAGCCACAGAGACATTAGAAATAAATTTTGTTCGGTATCAGAGTAGTTAATAAATGGAATGCATTAGGCAGTAATGTGGTGGAGGCTGACTCCATACACAGTTTCTAATGTAGATTTGATAGAGCCCAATAGGCTCAAGAATCTGTACGCCAATTGATTGACATTCGAGAGGTGGGACCAAAGAGCCAAAAGCACAACTAGGTGAGCACTTTTTTTTTTCTTTATTGAATTATGCATAATAGTGATAATCACTCAACTGTGTTGCAGGTTTTATTTTAACTATTCATCATGCAAACTTGAAATTTGCAGAAACAAAATTCTAATCGCTGCCTTTTCCACATCCTATATTCCCTGTACTTAGACAGAAATAACATGTGTAACACTCCAGAATCTTGGTATAGCATAATTAGTTTTTTTTTTAATACTACTTTCCATTACTTCATTTGTCATCCCTAAATCTTGATATAGCATCTCCAGGTTTTCCTATAACATCTCAACTCCTGATATAACATCCCCAAATCTTAGTACTGTACTGTATAATAGCCCCAGACCTTGATATTTAGCATCCCCAGATCATCATATACAGTACTATATAGTATTTCAAGATCATGTACAACATCTCCAGATCTTCATATAACATATTAACATCTTTATACTGTATATAGCATATCTTAAAGGTAACAATTTACTTTTTGCATCCCTGAATCAGTGATCATTGATAGGATAGATTTCACAGTATACAATTAAATAAACTATAAAGGCATGTTAGTTTAGTTCATATATTTTGCACCCCATACCCATCTTGTGGGCGGTAGTGGAAAGGGTTACAGAGGCACATAATGAGCTCTGGAAAATTGAATTGGACTGAACCCCACAATTCATTTAGCTAAGCAAGTTACAATCTTGATGAGCTAGCCACAAAATTCAATACACATCGTCACAACATCAATGGGTTCGAGATCGACCGCAAGTACAGTTACTAAATTAAGCAGATATGTGTGTAGAGCTAGTGTTACAATTTATGTGTTTGTCCTTAAAGGCATGTATATGCAGGAGTAAATAAGGTGTTCCCATCTTATGTCTTACTAGCACTTTTGTGTTTTGGAGGTTTCCTAGAACTATTTTGAAGAGCAACTAGTTTTTAGTTATGTGGTGAGCAATAGTTGCATATACTATTTATTTACTTAGAATATTCACACTAACGTGACTGCATCAATGAGAAAATCCGTAGGAGCAGTGATGAGGGTTGGAACCTATGTGTTGGGTGTTCCCAGGCACCCAAGACATGATATAAGGATTGCAACCTCGAGTTCTTATGAACACAAAGATTTCCTGGGGCTTCTAATGAAGCCAGGACAGGATTTTCACACACAATCACCCCCCCCCCCCCCATGCACTCTGGCTCTGTCATCTAGGACTTGTTCTTCCTCTGACGCTTATCTTGTTAATACGCAGAGAATAATCACACTAACGGAGGTATTGTGTAAAAATCCTGTTCTGGCTTCAGTAGAAGTCTCAGGAAATCCTTGTGTGTTCAGAAGAACCCCAGGTTGCAACTCTTATGCCATGTCGTGGTCTAGTCGCTAGTGCTTGTGCCTGCGAACATCCGCCGCACATCATGCACCCAACAGCCATCCAGTGGGAAGGTTACCATCACGTGCATGCACTGGCTGCATAGTAAGCAATCTTGGGATGGCTAGGATTTCTTCCTCGTACGTCATTTTGAATGAATTAGCAATAGAATTACAGTATCTACCGGTAATTTTTGTTTAGCATTCTATTACGTAGGACAACTAGGATCTTTTCTGTATACGTGAGTCTCGTATTGGACAGAAATGGTTGGGAACATTTCCTTTCACTTAGTGCCCCTGTTCACCGAGTAAAAAGTAGGTATCAGGGAGTTTAACAATTGTGGGGTTGCATATTTGGAAGGGTCAGTAGTTCGACCTTGGTGAGGAAGCCTTGATACAAGCCTGAAGTAAAAGTGTGTGTGTACACTCGCTTTTTGTTGAGCTTCAGCTCTTTGGTCCCGTCTCTTAACTGTCAATCAATTGGTGTACAGGTTCCTGAGCCTATTGGGTTCTATCACATCTACACTTGAAAGTGTGTCGGGTCCATAGAATTACCCAAATCGGCCCAAAACTACACAAATCGTCCTAGCATTACGTAAGTAATGAAGAAATATGGTATATTTACTTACTATAATGTTGGTGCTACACGTAGAACATGATCAAACCTATTTTTACTCTGAAATAATCTAATTTCATAACGAAATGAGACGTAAATATGTGAGAGGTGACGCCATAGGAAGTCGACGGTCCAAGCGACAATTGTGTGGAGCGACTTATCCAAGATATATGGTCGCCCGGAGAGTGTTTGCTGCCATATCAGCCTCCTGTACACAGTGATCCAGTCCTCGTACATACATGTATGTATGAGTGTGTGTACATGTGTATACAACATTAATAATTTTGTAACTAGCGTCAAACACTGTTACTTGCTTAGCTAACCGAACTAGAGGGTTCAGTTCCTGAACCGATTATGTGCCTCTGTAATCCTTTACACCACCGCCCACGGGATGGGTATGGGGTGCATAATAAAGAAAGAAATAGAAGAAATTGAAATTGCATAATACGGTTATTGACATTCAATAATAGTAAGATAAGTTTTGATATTAAGTTTTTAAGTAAGATAAGTTAAGATAAGTTTTAAGTAAGACAGTTTTGATATTCCTAGAGTACGACTTAATCAAACTAGAAATGCTCTACAAATCAAGGGGCCCAGAATGTGGAATGACCTTCCCAACCATGTTAAAGACTGTACCTCTCTCAACCAGTTTAAGTTAAAAACGAAGCTATACCTAATAAATTCCCTGTAACCTACCTTACCCTTCTATTGTCAACCAATGTGTTTTTTTTTTTTTTTTTTTTTTTTTTTAAGAGCGCTGTTTGTCGACATAATTGTATTTGTGCTGCTTTTTCATCTATGTTTTCATTTCTTGTTTTCATTCTACTCATTATCCTCAATTAGTATTAAGCTTGTCATTTAAGTTTATCATGCCCGAAACGCTTTGCGTAATAGTGGCTTTAGGCATTGTATGTACTAGCTCTACCTATAAGTCAACCAATCTTTGTAAAAATTTATTGTATGTATGTACCTTATCTAAATAAACATTTTATTTTTTTTTTTTTTTTTTTATAAATCAATGAGGACCAAATGGGAGACTAGTGATCAGATGAATATTACAGACTCAAGAGTAGCCTTCTCTTCTTGTATATAAATGAAAAAATAAATTCGTTTGTTTAATTCTAATGCTTGTAGGCGAGAACAGTTGTGAACGCCAGCTAGCGCACAAGTACATGAGCGCCCAAAATACTTTTACACAAAAGACATGTACAGACAGGCGTGTGGCTTCTGACTTCTTTTTTATTGATTAATATTAAATATTAAGCGCTTACCTATAATAGTTATCATTTTATGCAAGTATAACTATCACATAATAAATATAAAAGGAGTTTATCAAAAAACTGACAGAAGTGTTGTGTTTTGTGCGTTGTATCGTGTTTGTGGGCATTCGGGTGTGTTGTTTTTACGCTGGCGGGCGGCGTCCTTACCAACTCCGGATTATGTCTATTACATCACTAAACTTCATTTAATAACTATATGCCTGTTAAATAGAAGATTTTAATTGTTAATAGCATTATATTGTCGTTTTAATATGGAACACGTACACATATGCGAAACGTCTAAAGCTGGTGTCCGAAGTGGTAAAAATATTAGTGTACGATGTTGTCAATGTACGGAGTGTCTTGTATCCGAGTCCATAGGAATTACCGTTTGTCCTGGCGCCATCTATGTTTTGACAGC